CCCCCCCCCCCCCCCCCCCCCCCGGGGCGGCGCTTTGCACCCTACTATTAATGACTTCTTTTAATGTTTTGGCTTTGATACCCTATTACTTTCTTTTATACTGGGTTGGCTGTTTGTTTTGTTCTCTTAGATTGTTCATGGTTATTACAGTCTCGCGTTGTATATTATCCTGAATTAGACGACTGAATTCATCATTGACTATTTTGTACATCTTTAGCTATAATACAAGGCAAAGGCCACTGTAGGATATTGGATGAGTGAAGATCCTATACAAGATAAAATGCTACATGTAATATTATACAGAGATCAAGAATCTTTGAATGTAGCTTCGTATCTCTTTCCTCTGAATGCCCACACTCCCCAATTACCGCAGGACACATCATGCGGATCTAAGTCGTTCAAATCCCATCTCAAACTCCGGAATCGATTCTCTCCTTGTTCGAGAAGGATGTCTGCCTCACCGCCGCATTTCTTCTTTACCCAGTTCATATCTCTTTCCATATCACTCTGCGTGTAGCCTGTGCATATGATTGGCACCTTTGTCTCTAGCAAGCATGGAAGAGTCTCCTCCCACTCGTGCGAACTAGCCGGATGCCCCAGGCCAGGATGGAAAAGCATAAAACAGTCAAAGTAAGGATCGTAGGGCGCGAACATATTAGCTTTGTGCATGGTATGGAAGTAGTCGACGTAAGTAGTTATTTTCATCTGAGCACCAAGGCGGTCTTCAACAATTCCACCAAACGGATTGCTTGCTGTACGTTCGGGGAGGGGGAACTCGTCATCACGATTTGCCATGCTCTCAGGTCCGATGAAGATCAAATTTATTGTCGCACGGGGAAATAGATGTGAAATCTGCATCCAGACTTCTCGCGGCAAGGATGACTCTGCACGCGCGCCGAGTATAAAGATACGGACTGGAGGAGCTTTCAAACGCAATCCCTTCATAGTGCTTCCCTCGCCTGACCTGGGGGGATGCAGCGTGTAACGTAAGGCTAAAATGTATATTATGTTAGACGAAGCATACTTCACTCTTTCCACTTTTGAGGGCATTTTCTTATATATAGAAGAAAAAGAAGGCTGATTGACTCACCACTAAAGCTCTTCAACCCCTCAGGCGTTAATCTCCCTCCCTTTGAGATGTTATATGGGCTGAGTTCATGTAACACGCTTGCAATTGTGATTGGGTAAGTGAGCAATCTAGTAACCTGCCGCATGCTCCTATCATCATTGACAGCCTCGAATTCTCTGGTGTACAAGAAGGTATCCCAGTTTGTCATATTAACAACAATCTCATCCGCCTGATAGCCGGGATAATCGAATTCCGTGAAGAACCGTCCAGATAGCAAATCATGGTCATCCTCGTTGATCTGCCTAATTGTTTCGCAAACTTGGAGATGTGCCTCAAAGTCATCCATCCAATGCTCTTCCGAGCAATATATCGGAACTCCACAGTCTGGACATTCATGCTGGGCATGGGCAGGCGGCTGTTTCTGCTCATTGGGGATTGCTGACATTCTAACTTCAGTAGCAATAGGAGACACCGAAGCGCGGGTTTGTTGATGGTCTGGGTGTGGGCAGAATGCATGTTGTTTGATAAATTCTGCTCGCTTCCTGATCTGCGGCGAAGGGGAATTGCTGTACGAATGGAAAAGATTATCTCGACGTAGAAGTGGCCGTTTCGGCTCCGATCCTTCACTGGTGGACGCTTCTTGAGGGGTAGCTAAAGAGGCAGTCCCTCTTTTATGGCTCGTACAAACTTTCAGCTTTGAATTCGCCTGCTGTGGCAGGATGCTCTGTCGAGATGGCGTGGAATAGGTTCGGTATCTGTGGCTGAGACGCGTGAACTGCCTCAGCTTGGGAGGCGTTCTCACCGCATTACGGCATATTCCTAGCCCGAGTGCTTGCACGCACCTCCGGCAAGCAAATTCGGCCGCCATTGACAACGGCGGTGATATTGGATAAGTGGTTCGTTCGTGGTTTGTGCTAAGTAGCTTCGTTCAATTCAATATTTCCCGGCGTCTTGGAAATTTAATCACGTGATTGTACTAAGGGCGAGATGCTTTTGCGCCTGGCGAGATGCTTTTGCGCCTATAAATGGAAGACATTATATTCGATAGGTTGATTAAATACTTCATTCGTAGCAGTGAGGCATGCCTAACTATACCGGAATGGCTAAAATAAAACTGAATAATGTAGACATCTATAAAATATAAATACATTTTCAGAAAATCTCTTCACAAACGCTCCCAGTCTCCTGCAGCTCTAGACTTCCAATAGTTCCCATTATGTACCCAGTACTCCTCACCAGTGATCTCACAAACACCCTTGGTAAACCACTTTGGTTTATACTCCTCGCCTTTTGCCTCCCGTTCTCTCCTCTTTGCTCGCTGTTTTTCTTCGACTCGATGTTTTTCTGTGGCAGCAAAATCGTACTCGCCATCTTCCATGGCACGCTGGTCCGGCCGCAATCTGGTGTCAGTTGGAGGGAGGTGAGGCTTAAGATTATCAGGGATAGCATTCAGAGTAACAACAAACGGCGTCAAGTTGAAGGGTATCCCGGTTGGCCTGGGGTTACTCTGCCAGATCAGCATAGCATGAGGAGAGTTTCCGTCTGTAGTAATTTCTGAAGCTGACATGGAGCTTCCACTGAGTTTTCGTGCATAGATCTTATCATTCCATCTGCCTCCCACGCTCCAGTGTGGTACACCATCCCGATCCAGGACCTTTCCGGACACATGATAAGCAGAAGCGACAGTCCAGCCTCTGGGCTTAAAGTCCAATCTACACTCTTCGCCCGTGGTCCAGTTCTTTATGACCATCGGGCCGTAGTTATCGACTGTTGGGTTACCAGTAATAATGCCGATAACGGAGGATGTGACTTTCTTCCAGGTATACAGCTCCTCTCCTCCGGAAGCGGGCCGTAGTCGCAAAAACCATGTTCCCAAGGGGTTGATATCAAACGATTTCCCATAGAACTTAGATTTCACCGCAGATTCACCCTAAAACAAAAAGTCAGTACTTTGAGAAATAAATTGCAAATAACCAAGAGGCAAGTAGGTGAAATCTCACATAATAATCCCATCTTGGTGACTCAGCGTAGGCTGCGCCAATTGGCGGATGATGGCTGACCTGCTCGACGAAGAAGCGATAACCTTTGTCAGGTCGAGCATACTCGTAAGTTTCACCAAGTAGAGGGTTAAATGGTTTCGCAACGCGTCCAATGGTCGATGCGTACTCGCTGGCAGCAAAAGCAGCCACATAAACCATTCTTTCCATTGAATCAGGACGGTCAGCAGCAGTGTCAATAAGATCGGTGTATTCCATATCTTCAGCAACACGTTGTAGAAGCGAGGTTGGCTCATTAAAAGATACAGGGAGTGTCATTTTAGTCATGTCTTTTCCGATCATAGATTTCAGGATACCCTATAAGTTTGGGAGTGTTAGCTAACATTCGATAGGTCTCTAGGAATACCGTTCTCACCCATAGGGAAACTTTTGGACGGTCATCCGCGTCCATTTTGAGTCGTTTCCTGACAGAGTCCTCATATCCTTTGAATGAAGGTACAATCTCTGTTTCCTTCTTTGCCCGAGCACTAGCTTCGCCTGCCTCTATTTTTTCTTCCTTTGGTGGAACGACGACTTCAACGTCGCCAGCATCTATGGCATCAAAAAACTCATCTTCGTCGTTTGACTCGCTATCCGATAAATCCATTTCCTCCAGCACAGTCTTCTTTCGTGCTAGCCCAGGAGACGGTGCTTCGGCTTGCTCGGCCTTTTTGTCTGCTTCGATTTTTTGGACCACTTCCACGGCATCCGATATTAACACTTGTGATGGGGGAGCAGCTTGGCTTAGCCTTCGGCTTGCTGGCACTGAAACGTTTTCTAAAGCCTCCTTTAGAGCTTTCTTTGTTCGGCGTCGCTTATCTTCACTCTGGCCCATTCTGTTCTGTAATTCCTCATGTTCCTGGGCTACTCGAGCCATGCTTTCTTCCCACATCTTCCTTGCGTCTGCCTCCCTGTCTAAACGATACTGCCAGTAAGCGTCTCTATCTCTAGTGATTTTAAGTAAATCAATGATGAGTGAGTTCAGTGTGTCGACGGCTCTTTCATAAGTCGTTAAACCTTGAGCGATGGTAGGGTCAGATAACGCTGCTGATGGATTCTTTGCTTTCTCAGCATTTATAGCTCCCGAAACACTGTGTAAAATATCTAACTGCAGTCGAACTGATTGTGCTGTAATGCTAAAGGCATCCTTGTCCGACGCAGGTCGCATCTCACGGCTGCTTGTGTAATCAGCATAGTCATCCTCACCATCGACCTCAGCAGTATTTGTGGTCACATGGCTGATCACTCCGGCCATGTTAGATTGAGAAGTGCTAGGATCGTTGAGCCCAGTAATTGAGGCCTCATCATCTCCGAAACCGTTATCTGTTCCTCCTCGAGAAATCTGTAGACTCAACCTTGACCCGCTGGGAGTAGCGGCGCTGCCCAAAGACGTTGGAGGAGGTGCAAGTGTTTTGTCATTCACTTTCCCACTGGCCAAACTCATGGCGTCGTGGTCTTGCCTCTCGACCTGGTCTATCCTGGCCTGCCGAAGAACTTCGACATCTTTGGTTCGTCGCTTGTCGCTTTCTTTTGCCTCATCCTTTGCCCACTGGATGGCATTATTCAGCGCCCAGAACCAACGCTTCGCCTCAACGACATGGTTTGCCTTGAGATGGTATTTGACTGATGATTTCCCTAGGATCTCAAAACGAGTCTTATCCTGCGCATCCATATTTAGTTTTGCAATACGCATGTTTATGGCTCCACGACAAGCAGAGCCAGCATCGTCTGAATATATGTTGTTAGCATCGACTATCCATCACATGATGCACTGGGAACAAGTTGGCTCAGGTGCATACCTTGGTGTTTATAGTAGCTCAGAACGCCATCTTCTAAAACGAACCATCGTAGTTTATATCCGGTCGTATAATTCGTCCACTTCTTCAGGTAGCCCTTGATTTCTCTGGCGTCTTTGCCTCCGATAAAGACCTCACCAGATCCCTGGGCGAAGTTGCTCCCAAGGATGGCCCTTTCCTGTATTCCACGTTGCGCCATGACTGCTGCGGGTGACTTCTTCACGAATGAGCGTATACGGTCATCCTTGGTGATATCCTGGGGAAGCTTTCCCTTCCTATCTCTCCGGAAAGGGTCAGCACCATGCATGAGAAGAACTTGTATTAATTTTGTGTCCTTCTTTCGCACAGCTTCATGGAGCAGGGTGCCACCAGATAGGTATGTGGCACGGTCTGTGACGAGCTCGGGGCCGTTTACGTCGACCATGCCCTGAACTCGAGGTTCGACCAAGACACGCTCCAGTTTATCGTAGTCTTCTTGTCCAACCAGAGACTGTATCTCCCTGGTCTTGGTTTCAACAAATAAAGATCGAGCAAGTTGTAGGTGTTGAAAGATATCGGGGCTACGGGCAAGGTCGAGCGGCGTCTGCCCCTGGAAATTTGTTGCTGCGTCGTTGATAGCAGGGCGTTCCAGTAGCTCTCGGACGACAGATAGCCGACCTAACTGTGCGGCCAGATGTAGAGGGGTGTTTCCTTCGCGGTCACGGGCGTTGATTCCCGCATCATCAACGGATGCCATCACGAATTCTACGACCTGAGGGTCGGCACACTGGATGGCCAAGTGGAGGATGCTCGTGCCGAGAGAAGCACCCTCCTGGCCGCCCGATTCTTGACAGTCCTTGATGGCCTTAGTTATAGCATTCGTATCCCCACTCCGTAAAACTTCAAACAGCCTGAATGTCCTCACAGACTGGTCTAAGCTGACACTGTCTGTGGCGGGGGCTTCCACAGTGGATGGCTGAGGGCGTGATTCCGACATATCTTCTTGAGAGGCACCTTCTGGTATATCCGGGAAGTTATTGATGTTTGCGTTGCTGCTGCTATTATCTTGGGCCGCCTTGCGCTTCGAAGACCGTAAGCTAATCATGGATGCTGAGTGCGAGTGGCGAGATTCCCGAGGAGACGAAGAGGATGAGGAAGCAGGAGAACCATTATTTTTAGGAGAGGTCGCAACGTCCTCCTTGTTATCGTCACTTTTCGACTTGTCTCGATGGAGGATGGAGAGTGCGAGGGCGCTCTTGGAGCGTTTATGCCTATATATGCGATGATATATATGTCAGCGTTTCTTAATGCCAAAAATCACGATCCTTGGATCTGGAAAGCTAATATGAACAACAAAATGGCAGCAATATAGAGGATATAGAAATAGATCGAATAGAGAGGCATTGAAGGGATATACGGCACTTGTGGCTTACCCTTCTGTCTTGTCTGCCATCTCGTTTCAACCTGTCTGCCCTGAACAGCCAGCTCAGGCGGCGTCTGAACTGTTCCTGGCTAGCGGACGTTTTTCTTAGATGCCGGACTTATCTACGTCCTGACTGATATATAGAGGTTTGGTAAATGGGGCAAAGGGAAGACACTGGCAGTGGCTCGAGAAGGGGGTTTGTTCAACTAATAGTTATTATCATCGGGTGTGTGAGAGAGAAGCAGGGGGGGAGAAGGAGGGAGGAGGATGGATCTCATGAGAACGCCGCAGTCAAGTTTGGATTCGAAGAGGTAGAGTATCGAAACGTAGTATCATGTACCTTGCTTCATTGCAGCAGTTTGTGATAATCGTATATATCGAAGGGGGATTTTTTGCCCTTCGACTTGGCGAAAGTTGCATCATAAATATCAATAACATACGTTAAGTAGTAAAATTCACGCTCTTCTTGCACTTACAAATACATTTGACAAGCTCTTCATAGCGTTGGGTGGCTCTAAAAATACATATTGTCCCGGCAATGGGTATATAAATACTGATATATAGATATTATACAGATAACATCAGTTACCGTCGACCGCTTACCAGCAAGATGACGCTTCCCAGCTGCCGACGCAAATCCTCCTTCTCCACGTCGTGCGTGTCCTCGACTTCTCCCCAGTTCTCCGTTTGCCATCTGACCTCCAGGCTCGAGGCGTGCGCGGCCTCCTCGATGCCAAACGTCCTGCTAGCATTGCTTGGACGAAGGTGGCGGAAGTTCTCGCTCCATTCGATCACCACCCGAGCACCGACCAAAAGACTCTTTGTAGCGATTCCCGCTCGCTCAACGCCGGCCAGGTCATAAGGCGAAAGGGTCGACAGCCAGCCCCGGATGACATCTAACGTCTCCTGCGACTGAGGCAGTGGCATGATGCTGTTAGCATCGAGAGTAGGCTTAAGCTCTACGCCAGGCCAGACGGTCGACACCAGCGAGGTAATAATAGGCTGAGCTGTCTTGATCTGCTTCTCCCGCAGCGTCTCCCGCTTCTCTTCACTTCGTCCAACGTACTCTGGTTCCTTCTCCGGGGCCCAGCTCAGGAGTGTGTCGGTCTCTAGATATCGTAGCATAACCCGAGTTATCTCGTCTCGAATCGTAGTGACACCTCGGGAGTCCTCATCTGCTATATCTTCAGCCCGTCCTGTAAGCGATGTCATCGGTATGAGATGGTATTTCGTTGCATGCTGTGCAGTCTTAAGAAGATCCCACTCCAGAGCAATCGCATGCGCCACATGAGGTTTTGAAGCAGGCACCGTTAATATCTTTTTTTCTGGAGTTCGAACCGGCCGGCTGTCCAGGTATATCTGATGACCACCTGTTTAACCCAAAAATTAATCACTGTATATATGTGTGTGAGCATTATATTTGGACATCATAGATATCTTACCTGCTGCTTCTTTGACGTGAACATCTTTCCAGAATCTCTTCCTTAGAGGACTAGGTTTAGAGGCCCTACTGCTGCTCACCGACCCAGCCTCTTGTTTTATGGCAGCTCTCTTCTCCTTTAGAGGGCTTCCCGCAGGAGCTTGTGGTGGAGGGCCAGACACGTTCACTGGGTGTGCAACAGCAGCTTTCGTATAGGACGAGTGAACGCATCGGACATGTTGCCCTTCCTGTAACAGATCCCTGCTAAGGCGAGAAACCCGTAAAGCCGGAATTGCTCGCTGGAGGGCCTTCATTGTGCTAGTAATATAGCTATCGTCTTCTGTTTCTTTTTGTATTTAACTCTTTGAATGCCATCGCGATTATCTCAAAAAAAGAGTCTACGGACTAACATTGATCCAGCAACCTTTACCTGGCAGTTTAATATCATGAGAGCTTTCGCTTACCTACTTATGATAAGTGAGGAACTGCTTAGATTTGACCCAACGATCATTAGTGTTGATGTCTCATGATATATCCAGGCGGAATAGCCAAGGGAGAGTGTCTGACTATCGTCAAGTGCGCGCAACCTACATTTCTAGCAATATCATGCTAGAAAGCGCATCACGACGAATATCTATATATCGAACGAGGGGGCCGGATATTGCAACAACAATCAACTACGAACTAGCCAGCTCGGGGCCTCCAATCTACGAGACAAGAAGCCCCTTAATGGCAATCTGAATCCTTCTGGGCGAGAAGCATTCCTTCATGACCCCAAATCCCGCTTCCGGGTCTTATTCTGGATATGGATTTTGTTACAAGTGGCCTGACTAGAGCAGGATCATTAAACTCTTCGATGGAATTAAAGGTATGGGGGAGTTGGTCGAGATAAAAGAGACTACTTCTTTACGTTGTAAGAACTATGTCAGACGCCTTTATGGCCTAACATCGAGTACTGATACCTTATATCAATAAGTTATGGAGGGTAAAAATCATAGGAAAAGAAGGATACGAGACCATTCTGCAGAACTTTCAAACAGACCTGGGTGTGAGGGTCATTACGATCCTGTATATACCGTCTCTCGTACCCGTGAGCCGGCACATTGACGAAATAATCGCAGAGGCACCGGTATCGAATTTATAAACAATGCCGACGCCTCTGACGATCCGACTAGATCCCCTGGCCGCAACCCTAGGGGAAAAGCCAGGGGCCCCTTCATCGATGATATACCCCAGATTTCTAGCTGTCTTACACTGTTCGATCAAGGTCCTCCACTGTCAAAATCTGAGGATTAACAGCCAGCTAAGCTTTCCTGGAGATAAGGAACAGACCTCTTAGCTTACACCTGAACCTGGAGTCTTGTTACATAAACCCGGAGACATCAGGTTACTGTGTAAGGTAACCAGATGGCTCTGTTAGTGTTTCAATCCCTCTCTGTCCTTTTTTATTGAATTATAACGATATGTTACAGGGTGGGAGGAATACCCCGTATAAGTAAGGAATGCAGCGGTGGATGATGGCCTGACATCGCTTTATGGCGGACAAGAAGGATAAAAGAGCCAGCATAATTAAAATTTGTGCAGGCGTGTATAAGACAACTTACGATGGCATATCTAGCTTGTTATATAGCTATGAATGAACGTGTCTATAGATAGTATTTTTTTTCATCAAGGTCATCCCCTGGGGGTATATCAGACACCAACTCTAACTGCCGGTGCTTCAATACGAAATCTGTAGACACCTTCATACAATATACACGCAGAGAGTATCGATTGAATAGACAAGCTTGTCCGTTTACTTTTGTTCATATTTTCCCTTTCAATCTTTGTCCGTGGATCAACAAGTATAAGGACCGCCCCTTGTTCCCGAGAAATCGCCATTCTTCAGGACAGTCGAGGTGGAGAACCAGATGTGATCTCAATCTTCACGAACTTCCCACGACGGCCTGGCGGAAGTAGGATCCACAGACTTGTTGCTGCGAGAAAAAGCAGATAAAGCTGCAAGAAGGCGGGAAAAAGGGTGTGAGGAGGGTCACCAGAAAGACGTCATCAAGCAAATTACATCCCTTCAGCTGTAATTAAATAAAAGCTGACCCCAAGCCAACGCCGACAGGAACTATGTATGGCCTCTAATCCACCTTGTGCGAGAAGGAGGAATGGGGATGATGCGATTGCGCATTTACGCTTTAGAAATCATCCAATTTGCAGATCAATGGGGAGGGTCCCCCTGATTACCGGTGCATCGAAGAGGGCCACGACCTTCTGGACGATGCTTCGGGGAGCGTCGACGTGCATCCGGATGCCATCTTGGAGGACGAAGGGGGGGCAAATTTCATGTGTTGCCTGGGATGCCTGGACGTGTCGGCGTGTACAAAGTACGAAGCTCGAACACATTCCTTGACCCGATATTAACTATATACGAAAGGCAAGTTGTCAAAACGGGGTAAGGGTCAGCCGTTCGTGCATATATATACCATGCATAGTCCGGCCATCGATGGGCCACCACCTCCACCATTTCATGTTCAGGGAGGGAAAAAAGCTAGGGAAACAATCAATTAAACGTCATGACTTGGGTAGTGACAGGCGTCTTGTATCCGATACTGGCGGAAATGGTATATATATACATGTGTGATGTGACTCCAAAGGTAGGTAGTTAGGGTCGAGTAAACACCCCGTCGCACCTCGTATATATATAAATAGTGGCGAACAGAGGCCGTGCGGCTCATCAGTGCATGGCTCTATACGCCAAAAGCTGGTATACAGAAATTATCTGATGTCAAGCCACTAATACATTAGGAGAAATTAGAGCTCCAACGCCGATGCAAAGGGAGTTCTCCGATGCAGGACATGGTATCCACGGGAAACGACCGCCCATATACAATTGCTTTACGGGAATGAACCGTTCTGTTCTGAACTGAGAGAGCTTCGGGCCAGCATGCAAGAACTCGCCAGATGTCGCAGGAAGAACAAAACCAGCCCACATATACAACACGTTTGAGTTTCGTCGGTCCAACGACCTACAGGAACTCCAATGGCCGCAAAACCGGCTCACACGTGCAGAGCCGAAGATGAAACCGTCGAATAAAGCAGGAAACCAGGGGGGGAGGAAAGGAAGCCCGCCGTTTGTAGCTTCACTTCAGATGACGAAGTTATTTGCGGTTTGCAGTGATGAAACGTGGAACGGTGACGATAAACGAAGAAGAGAGCGTGAATAAGCGAATCAAGAGGCATCTTTTCCCGTAACCTTCGGCGGCCATGGCTTGGTTCTTTCGGAAATAAAACGAAATAGGTAAAACAGAGGAGCGTTCTTCGAACCCGGGGGTCGTTATGTCGATGTTCGGCTTCCCGTTGTGCTGTTTTGCTCCATTATAACTTTGAATAGAGTGAATATAGAGGGCCCGGGACATCGTTGAAACTCGACCGAAACTGCTGTTACCGATTAAAAAGAGGCTGGCTCACCTCAAACGAAGCCGATGGGACGATCACTCACAACGAACAGCGGAAAAAGAAAGGAGAAAGGTTGGGAAAAAAAAGAAAAAAAGAAAAAAGAAAATGGTGAGAAAAGCGGATAACGCTTGTTCCTTGCATTCATGGGTCCCGCGGTGGACCTAAGAGTATAGCAACCTTAAGCGGCCCTTCCAGAACAAAAGAGAATGGAAGGAGGATAAAAGAGTTGTCGTTCTTGTTTTTAGTTGATCTTAGGGGGGAGCGAGGGAGGACCAGGATTTCGTATACGAAACCGAACAGGCAAACCGGCAGCCAGTGGTTTATGAGTTGCCGGTTAATAGCTATATCGACACACGCTGAATGGATGCTGGTGTCCCGTTCCCTGCTCTTGTCCAGTTCCTTTGCCGATGCTGGTTCGGTTGAAGTGCCAGAGGTTCTTCAAGGTAGCATCGCATTATTCCAAATAGGGCTGAGATGTCCTTCAAAGGGAGAAAAAGGAAAGTAAATGGTGACATGCTCCCATTGGGCAAATATGCACCGAAATAGTGTGGTCCAAAGGACAAGAGCAAGGATGGTAAACATGTACGTACGGAGTACACATTCGGTGTCTAGTCCCGTTATTCTCAAAGAAACGAACTGTTGATAGCAGACGCAGCCCATAACAACCCATTTCTGGGTCCGACGGGGGAAGCAGTGCATAGGATAACAGCCTAGAACCATCCGTAACAGTTAATATCTGCCATTCTTAGTTACAGACAGATTGTAACTATAGTTGATGCTTCTCCACTGGCCTGCATCGCCTTGCGTCTGCTTTTTTCCAAAGGCTCTTCACTGGCAGGGACCCTTCCCATGTCCAAGTGCGAGATCCCTAAATAACATGTGGCCAAACCGATACTTTTTCCTTTTTTCCCTTTTTTTTTTTTTTGGCTTCCTTCTCTCTGCCTCAGAGTGAGGGTTGCAGGATTGATCTCCGACGGCTGATGCAGGCATATATCAGCAACCAGGTCCGTCTGCAGCAGCGCATATGACGTTGACACGATCCGGTTGAAGCCACGATTAATCCCACCAATGCAATGGCGACCATCCCTAATTTTCGTTCAGCGAGAAAAGCGATCAGTCCTTGCGATCGCCGAACCCCTGATTTCCTTGTGTTTAGCTTGTTCTTCGGACAACCTGGCCTAAAGCGGCAACCATCCCCAGCGACAACCGTTGGCTTGAACATTGACTTATCGGTAGTCTAATATTAAAACGGTACTCCGCAATAATATGTTATGGGCTCCAACGGTCGGCCTGAAGGAGACATGAAGCATTGACCACAGGAAGACCAATCCCTGCTATCAGGCGTTATGCGTCGGCTCATGCGAAAAGCAAAAGGTTAGCCTGCTGGGATGGTACATATATACATGTATGGATTCATAGTGTATCCATAGTATACCGATATTGCATGCTAAAAAAAACACCGTAATGACCTGCTATCAAGCGAGAAAGGTTATACTCGTTGTCATTGGGAGGCACAGGATGGACTTCGCGGCCCTGCATGCGGCCTGCCAGAAGAACATATATACACTCATAAACCCCTTCACTATAGGGACTTGACATTATGATCGCTGGTAGGGTTCTTGTGTAGTCGTCGATGGCACTCTTAGATGCATAATGCGCGTGAGTTGTGGCCTATCGACTCGCTCCCTAGGTCAGCCCACGTATATAAACATGTACTTAGTGCGGAGCACATATATATCACCGAGAGGTGTCGACAACACACCGTTGCATCCACATTCGGATCGGCAAGGCTTGATCATGCCAAATTTGGGGGAGATGGGCAGATCCTGTAGAATGAATAAAATGGCATCCATGGGATGGCATGGCTAACTAGTCAAGCTCCAGCAAAAAAGCAAACAAGTAACTATTAGCAAGTTTATGCAGGCCGCTGCCGAGTCTCTACTCATTGCAGACGACGATATATATATGATGGGGCTTCATCACAAGTGACGAGATGTTCAGCAACAACCAATCTCCATCAGACATAAAAGTATCCCCCTTTTGCAAAGGGAAAGAGAAAGAGAACCGCCTACGCCCTTGGATTGACTCGATGGCTTCCGATTTAGTGATTCGACCCTCGCGAATCTTTCGTCACATCACACCTTGGATCAACAGGGGTGGTGGCCTTTTGGATATTATTATTATATACCTGGTGGCCTTGCCGGGAACAGGCTACCTACATACGTAAGAGACACACTCACCTATTGGTTCCACGACCCATTCTCATGAATCGGCGAATATATATTATGCCCAAAAGGAATTAGGATAGGCAGACCAACCATGCATTCGCCAGGAAGGACTCGATATCACAGATCGAACCCCCCTCCCCTGGCCGGGTTATGAAGTCAACCTTCTCGCGTAGTCGACGACTCATGCTGTGCATAAACACATCCACAACGACAGAGCGGTCCAAAAAAAAAGAAAGAAAAAAAGAAATAAAAAAAATACAACCGAAAGCCAAAGGGTTCTTTGAGAGGTCCTGGTATTGGTTCCCCCACGTCCCAAACTTTCTAAAAGCCGTGTGTGGTCCAGCTAACTAGTGAGATTGTAGCAACTCACGTTTGGACGATGAACGACAAGGTAGATCGCCACTAGGGTACTTGGGTTCGTCGTTTGAAGCGTTGTCCCCATGCCCAATCAGTCGTTACGATAACGGCAGAACTGCATGATTGGTTTAATGATGTCAAGCTCAGCCGATGCTATCAGAGCAGCTCTCTGCAGGTCCTTCCGGGACCAACAATGGTTAACCGCCAGCTCAGCTCAGCTAGTTTCTCAGAGGAAAGACCAGAACCCATGCCTGGTACTATAGGTAGGCAGCAAAAGCTTCTCCGCATATTTCGAGTGGGCTGGCTGAGGAATGTGTGATATCCTGGTGAAACCGATGCATCAAGTGGATCCTTATGTCCTCGCGCCTGGCAAGTTTTTGTTGCCCGCTCCAACCTCTCAGAGGATGGAGAAGCATGGCCTAGAAAGAGAGGGTACACACGCGCTACTCTTCTTCCTCGACCATCCAGATAAAGACGGCCCTCCACTTATATCCTCGCTGATCCTTCCTGTAGAGCTAGCCGGTACGAGGAAAAGCCGCCAAACAGGGCTGGAAACGTCCGATTTAAGCATGTCGGGAGCACGATTCGGAGTTGACTTCCTGCTCCTCAGGGAGAGGAAGATAAAAGAGGAAGAGGAGACAGGCAAGTCAAAGGTAAAAAGAAAAAAATTATGAACATGGGAAGGATATCTATCACGCGAACAGTGATATATATATACTCATAGGGTATTACTCTTTATACATCATAGTATTAATAGACTATGGGGTAAGTCGATTCGCCTCAACTGGGGGATCTCCAGGAAACCCCCTTCTCTAACGATCAGGGATCCAACTTGGATTCTCGACTGTTGTGTACCATCCAAGTTTCAATCCTAGGACTGATTCGCGAGCCATCCAACGAACGATGGATACGGACCCCTTCTAATCGAACGAACGGCTCTTATATATACTTTCTTTTTGTACTGGAGTAGCTTTACCAACGTCTTCCCCCATATAAATCATGCTACAGTTTTGTCTCTCTCCTTTTCTTTCTGATCCTTATTTTTCTGGAGATTGGGAAACCTCGATAATATAAGCTTGATGGGCTCAAATAGTTAACTTCCACAGGGCATGCTGATCATGTTCATCTCTCTGTTCCATCTTCCATCTTTCTCTCGTAAGTACTCCCGTATATGGGCGATCACCCGAAGGGGGGGGAGGGTGACTCCAGTTTGTCCTTTAAAATTCGCCATCGCATGTTTTGACTCCTGTGGCTCCCCCCCTTGTTTAGGGCGAAACAAGTTGAAATTTCCCACCCTGCTGCTTCATACTCTGTTGAACCCCGTTTCTTCTCACCTGCTTGTCCCTATCTACCTGGTTATTACTGTCAAAAAGACACCTACTATGAAGGAGTTCTCTCTTCTTTTACTATCTAAGTAGCTCGGCAACCTCCGCTATCCCTGCGTAAGTACATATGATATCTAGCCCTGCCTGCTTTTAAGATGGCAAAAAACCATCCTGGATCGCTCCTCTAACCTAGCCTGCTCCTTATCGTGCGTGCTATACTCCCAAACAACTAGTTAGTACGAAGCCCACTCATGTGTACTTATATACGTATAGACCAGGGGCCGCATGCAACACTCCACACCATGCACCTAGGGAGGTTTTGCAAGGGTTAATTTAAAGCTGTTAATTTTACATCATCACCGAGCCGGAGAACCATAAAAATTATCAAACAGTAGGGAAAACTGAAAAAGGAAAAAAAAATTCACAAACTAGAGGGAGAGTTTAAATAAAATCGCAGAGTGAGGGAGTGAGAGAGGGAAATCATGAGCCGGTGAAGCGAGCGAAAAGCCAACATAGTCTACCCAAGTATGATATATTTTAAAAGAAGGATTCTGGAAAAGTTGAATTGCTTTTTACTCGAGCATAACAGAAGCTTAAACTGGCCACAGGAGCTTTTTTTTTCCTTTTGGTGACAGCCGTTGTTTTTTGGTATATTTCTTTTCACCCTTTTTTTTTAGCTATATGAAATTAAGACGAGCTAGATGGCGATGAACTTGTACCAATTGAGAACTTCAGATACTTTTCTCACTCTCTATACCTTATTTTTTTTTTTTTTTTTTAATTCTTATATTGTTTTTTGCATTGAGAGATAAGTTAAGTATACTATGTAATATTTTAAACCCATACGAAGCTCTCCACTGCAAAAAAAAAAATGGTATCCTAAACCCTCGTTGAAGGGTTGTTCCACCCTAATTGACTATCCACTGTTTCTTTTTTTTCACACAGTATACGGAGAATCGAATCCCTCCTGCATTGGAAAAGATCGTTGTCCTTATTTCAGACCGTTCGTCGTCTTCATTTTTATTCTTCTTCATTCTATCTTGCGTTAAGTCAACCTTAATTAATATATACCTCGGCCCTTGTTGCTTAATATCTTCCATTTCTTCCTTATTTCTCGCCCTCTCTGCTCCCTTTTGAAAGCTTGCATATCTCTTTTCTTGACCGTTCGATTTCAATTGTTGCTTTTCTTTTCTCTGACTTTCACTTTCACTTTGAGCGTGCCTTATTTATACCCCGTTCGTGTTGCTGCTCGTGTTGTGGTTTTACTCCATCTTTGCTTGCATAGACATCCTCCCCCCTCCCTCCAGGAAAAAAAAAAAGAAAGAAGTAGCCAAAGGCCCCCATGAATTGTCACTGCAAACTTCAAGATTAAGATATCTGGAGGGTCGACTGTTCTTCTTTCTCTCTTTCTCCGTGGGAAAAAAAAAGTTGAACTGATAACGAGAGCAGAAGGAAAGAAGATAATATCTCAGCCAGGAGCTAGAGAGTCGAAGGAGTTTTTTTGATATTGCAATTTGTGCACGGAAGAGAAGGGGAGAAAAAAAGCCATCATGATGACCTTCGAGTTTACATACCTTTTGGCATTCAAGCTATTATTGTGAGTGTGGAAAATACGTCCTGTCAAATCAGCTTTGGTCTTGTGCATTGCTAACTTACCATTGGCAATAAGTGTGTACCGGTACCTGCGACTGGTTGTGAACCTGTTCGCTGTATGGACGTTTCGACCCATACCACCCCCAGAGAATCCAACATTGACTTCTCAGGATGTATCCATCATTATTCCTTCTTTGTCTGGCTGTGGCGAGGAGCTGGAGGAGACCATCCGTACCATTCTGCTAAACGAGCCGTACCAGATCTTCCTGGTGACAATCGACGCCAACAAAGCCAACGCAGAGCGTATGTTAAATAAGATGCCTGCATCCCGAACGAGAATCCAACTCCTCAGTATCCCCAAGCCCAACAAGAGACGGCAGATGGTTCGCGCCATTCCGGAGGTACGGACCGAGATAACAGTATTCGTAGATGACGATGTTAGCTGGCCAAAGACAGAGCTCAAATGGATCCTGGCGCCGTTCGACAAGGATCCCATCTACGGCGGAGTAACCACATGTCAACGATTGAGGAGGGTGGGTGCACCACTATTCTCGATGCAGCGGGCATGGGATTTCCTGGGTGCGTTGTATCTAGAACGTCGAAATTTCGACTGCGCCGCTACGACGCATATGGATGGCGGGATGCCCTGTCTGTCGGGTCGGACCGTTGCGTACCGTACCAAAATACTGCAGGACCGAGAGTTCACTCTGGGGTTCACCAACGAGGAGTGGTGGTTTGGACGCTACGAACTGAACGCCGACGACGATAATTTTCTCTCTCGATGGATGGTCACTCACGGCTGGGAGACCTACTTCCAATACCATCCCGAAGCTGAAATCCAGACGACCCTCGAAGACAACCCCCAATTCCTGAAGCAGTGTGTACGATGGTCTCGCAGCAACTGGCGCAGTAACCTGACGACTCTGGTACAAGAGCAGGTGGTATGGTTGTAAGTGTTCTTCTCCTCCCATTTTTTTCCGTGTTTATCTCTGTTCATATGTGAATTAAAAAAAAAAAAAGCAAATATGGGCTAACAAGGTAATTTAGCCGTCAGCCGTGGAGCACCTACGCAGTGTTCTTGACAACGCTCTCACCACCAGCTTTGGTTGGCGACCTATGTCTTCTCGCATTCTGCTACAAAGGAACTGAAGCCTGGGATCCCCAGCAGCGAACATGGGCATTCAACGCCCTGCTGCTGTGGATGTTTGTGAGCAAGTTCATCAAGTTGCTTGGTCACTACATACGATATCCCGCCGACTTCTTGTTGCTACCCGTTTCCATATTCTTCGGCTACTTCCACGGCCTCATCAAGCTCTATGCAGCCTTCACACTCAACGTGGTAAGCATCCTCATCATCTTCTTCTATCTCTTTTTTTTCGCCTTCTCCATATGTCAAAAAAGATGCATCTTTTCTTTGCCTCAATGGCTTCTGGGCCGTTCCGGAGCAACCCTTGCCTTCGTCTTTGTTTCAGCTTCCCTGCTCTCACCAAAAGTCAAGTTTAATCATTATCTTTTCCATCCTTTTTTGTTATTATTGCGATTATGGGTGGTTGCTAAAGACGTATTTTTCCTTCTCTCTTTCAGACGACTTGGGGCACCCGTGAAGGAGCCGATGTCAGTGATACGGACCGCATGCGGGAAAAACAAAATTACGAGATCCTCGCATCGAACCCCAAAACCCACCCTCTCCGTCAACCACCAGCGCCACTCCAAGAGAAACTGTAATACGGGTTCAATTCTAGCCCGGATGATAAATGTCTCTCTCCACAGCCAGCCGGCTCCGCGCAACATCCAACAGCATAACATCCATCATTTATCCTACCGTCCGATCACCGAACCATGGCTTGCACTTCCGCCTTCTTCCTGCTCTTAGACTTGCACAAGATGAACCTGAACTCCCCATCGCGGCCCACTCTTTTGAGTGTTATGCCATGTAGCATCCATGTATGCAGGCATCCTAATAAGGAAATTCCCGTTTCCGCGTCACTGACCCTCAGGCATTCCGTATAACTTCTTCTTCTACTACTCCATACAAGGCACGGAACACGGAAAAGAAAACACCCTGGCTGGCCACCGCGGCTTTTTTTTTCTTCTTCTCTTCCTCTTTTCATACCTTTTCCCGCCCTCGCCCCTCCCCCCTACTTCAACCCCTACTCGCCTTTGAGGGTAGCGAGACAATACCTCTTGTTGGAGGTAACCCTTTTCTGCATCTCCTCCCTAGCCTGGCGGCTGGATTTGAAACGGACGAACCCTTCCATCCCGGTATAACGACGACCTTTTTCGCAGTGGACGCACTGCTTACTCAATTCAAAACTACACCCCCACACATGGCCAGGACAAACCATTTTTCTCCCCTTGGGGTTTTTACACTTTCTTTCTATTTTCAAAGCTACTGCGCTGCAGCACAACAACCTTCTTTGTGACGTGCCCATTTTTAGCCTGGACACAGATTCGATCATGCTGGATTCTTATCGCTGTGTGTGCTACTTTCACCAAGGTTCATGCAACCCAACACCTTTATCGATGGCCATTTTTAACGGCGAACAACGCTCAGTTTGGAAGGACCCATAGAGGGCCGTGAACAAGGGGTGGCCATCTTGGTTACAAACCGGCAGCTCCAAGGCACGAAGCAGAAAATGGCACATTTCATCAACCATCTCTTCCATACACGCATACACACGCCCCGTATCTACTCCGTACTCACACGGAATAGCCAAATATATACCCGATATCTCTTTTTGAACCCTGGAGGTGCATAATTTCATACAATCATTTCTTTCCGAGAGAGGGACAACGCATGACCTGGAATTGGAAAAAAAATTGGGCGGCTACGGTGTTATTTTGATTTTCTTTTTTACCCTCTCTCTCTCTCTCTCTCTCCATTGACGACTTGTTTTGATAGACTGGACTAAAAGAAACCCGAGGGGCATTGGAGTTGTACATTACTGATTTTTAGCCATCTTAATCATTTTTTCTTTCTATCGCCTATTCTTCATCATAACTGTAATTCAGCCTGCATTGGTGCTGTCCCTCTTTATGTTTTGCGTGTATTCGAAGTTCTCTACCTAGTGAGCCAGGACGAAGTTGGTGTTTTACCGTTTTGGGTAAGTAGTCAAGTCACGGGTCATCCACAACGTCTTTTCCAACATCGAAAATTTCAACACTTATGGTATTTGTGAGAGAAAATAACGACACACACATAATTTCTCCTCCCTTTTGAACATCAGAAAAGAACCTGCAGATATGCATCAAGCAGCCACTCACTGAGAAATCGCTCATATCTGGTTACATCAATATTTTCCAATAGAGTAAAATCTCTCAGATTTCACTATAAAAGCCATTCTATGAGAAAAGGGCCCAAATATCAGCTACGTGAGGTTATTAGCCTGTCCGTCACTTTAACATTTCCTTTTTACAAGGTTCGGTGTGTTTTTGCCTCTGTGTCCCGGCTATTCATTGTCTTCTTCGCCAGTGCGTGGTTGACTGACTTGGTAGTGCCACTCTGCAAAGGGCGTGCAGTATAAACTGGTGGATGAGCCGCTGCCAATCTGTCCGTATATCCGAACATCCCTATCTAAAGCTACCACGATACTTCGTACTGGGCACCAATTGACAATCCTTCTTCGAGTTAGTCCATGGCTTAACAGGCCTCGGTGTCACCAAAAGCGTAAGGGCTCGATGAACAATTTACGGTTGAGGCTGAACCCCTCGTGAGCTCCTTAGCTACTACGGAGTACAATACCTCGCTTAAATGATGTAAATTTCCCAGCTCATGCCGTTAATCAACAACAAACTGTGGTTTTGTGCATAACTGTTAGCGTCGAGCATGTACCCAACATGTACTCTGTACCAAACTACAGAGGCGGGAAAGGTCGCTTTGGGCACAACACTGAGATCATTGAACTAAAATAGTTCGATTCAGCATGCAACGTCCGTGGAAAGAGCGACTTTAAAGGACATAACATACAGAGTACATGCAGTTGAGATTAGCCCAGCTGAACGTAGGTTATAACTCCTGCTGGTCTTAACTGATAGATTCTGCCTTCGGTCACCTACTTATATTTTGGGGACAAAGAAGTGTCCCGACAACCTGGATAGCTAGTTATCCTAGCGCAAGGCACATATATTCTAGAGAGCTTCTAGCACGGCTTTACGTTTCCACTCAGCCCTTGGTTTGTCTTTTATGCATGCCATACTTACGGTGTGTTGCCCTCCCCTGTGACCGTCAGTTATGTATCAACGATACAGACATATAGCCCACTAGCTATATGTAAACGCCCTTTATAGGTATGATCGATGAAAGTATCTATATCTGTCTCTCCCTTTTTACGGATCTCGTCAATCCCATGTATCTCTAATCATCAACCCTGTTCATGTTCATGGCAACTTACGACATGGAGTAATCCATCGCTGCCTAGAAGCCCCATGATTGGTCTAAGCATTAGATGAGATGTAACTCAAGCACTCCTTTACATCTCCCACATGTTAGATGGACAGAACCGTGAGGGACGTTCGGGTTGATCCATGGCCACACCATTATGACCCTTTCGACGGTGTACTTCTTCGAGGTTCAAGACCAAATCTGGTCTTTGATATCCGTAGCCTCGGGCCCTAAGATCCAACCCACATGTGAGCACTATGTCTTCAACAATGCAGTTCCTTGTCTTCTGTTACTTTTCTTTGTTAGTTATTTTGGAATTAGCTTTCGCTAATACCATGATGAGCCGAATCGGTTCACTCGAGAATGTATATCCATTTGCCTTCATGCATGATGAGGCGACCTTATCATCGACCATGAGGCCCGTTCAAATTCCTTGTCCGATATATGGTGCCGATTCCTGACATTCTTGCAAGCGATCACCCTTTCCGCTGATACCCAGGATACTCCGATGCCCCCCGGCCAAAAGTATGGGGTGAGTGGTCTTTATAATTATCAGGGACAGATATGTTGCCAGTATTAATCTACCGGGTTGTCTGTTTGGTTTGTATCATGTGCTTATCTACGACTACACTGCTTTTAGACAATTGCTTGATAATTTTGCCACCTCCACCCTGCTTCCCGTTGACTTTTCTTAGAATGGCATCCTAATCAATTCTAGATCGGTTGAGAACATGAAGTCGCTCTTCTTTGGCACATGCCATTGTCTAAAGCACCCCTGGTGTGGCAATATCAACCATTCCAAACCTAACAAACTAATGGCCCTTCATTACAGGAGCCACGAGGCGAGATCTCAGGATAACCGCTTAACCCTAGAGTGTGTGGCCCGGCTCTGGGGCAAAACTGCCAAAAGAAGGCCCAGTTAAGTCATTGTTACTTGAAACCTACATCCCTGAACAAGACACCTGGGTAGCATAGCAGTGATAACTAGTTCAGCTGCGAATCTGGAACTATCGCTATGATATCCCTTGTGGTCCCGAGACTCTCAAACAAGATCTGTACTTCCTTGTTAATTGTGAAATTAAGAATTAATACCCCAGATATATAAATTCTTTTGTGTATTAACCTCCGGTTTGGGATTTTGCAAGGAAAATATACCTCCAAGTAAAGAAGCCAGCAGATATCCGGTCAATCATAACAGTGTCATACTTCCTCATGCCATCTACCGGAGCCTGAGAATAAAATAAAATATAATGCAGTGCGTGGTGTGTCTTCGTCACTTGCCCGGCCCGCCTGTCTTGCTACATCTTTTCAAATCGAGGCTGGCCAAAGTTACGCAAAACTGTCAATGATCCAACTGTTTGCGCGGCCCGAGCCAATCCATCTAGTTCAAAATCACATTGACCATACGGGCGTTAAGCATCTCAACCTGCAGCGTCCTTGGACACAGACACGGTCGTACGACATCCATACATGATTAACGATATAGTTAAGATATAAGTTACACATGCCAGTTGGAATAAGGAAAAGCCTTTGCATCCTTCGATTCCGCCGCTACGAGACAGTAAGACAATACCACTTGGCCTGACAACTTGGCTGCGAATTTCCAAATACTGCCACTTGGCTTCCTTTTTCACACATAGACTCCGAAAACTGAATTTGCGGGTCCAGATGAATCATGAGACGTTCTACCGTTTACGAGGTCTGTCATACATATGTTGATTATTGAATGGAGCCCACAGCTTAAAATGGCAAAGCTAACGATCTACGGGAATATTTTTGTAATTGCCTATAACGCACGTCGTAAGGTGCTATGCTTTTCTTGCTTGGATATTCCCCGATGCCGATTAAGCCTGAGGTGCAATGTTACTTAGGTGGCATTTAGATCTGGGCCGGTTACAGGGGCAGATATCTGGATGCGCGGGAAGATTCTCTATGTATATCTTCAAGGGTTGATGGGCGTTGTAAGTTAATGGGGAAACAGCCTCAGTTTCATTTTATAACCAATGATATATAGGATAAAAAGGGGTCAATCGAGTGGATGATAAGCGCAGGTTGAATTAAAGTAGACCAAATAAAGAGTAATAAAGAGAAAGGAAATAGAAACAAAGGACAAAGAAAAAAAATTAACCACGAAAAGGAATGTCAGAGAAGGTTTCTTGTTCAGGTATAAGAGTAGGTAGGTAGGTCATGATACAAAAGAAAAGAGAGCCTTGTTTGCCAGGTGATAGAGGAATAGCCAGGTTGAAAAAAAAAGAACCCGTCAAATCTAAGCCAGCAAGGTAGAGATGTAGACGGGAAGGGTATGATGGATGATTATTATATCAACCAACGGAACACGGCACGCCGTATATTGGGGGAAAAAGGAGAAGAAGAGGCAAGGACGTGGGGTTGATATATAAAGAAAAGGTGGTTGGCAAGAAAAAGGGAGAAAAAGGGTTCTATGGCAAAAATAAGAATAAAAGGTCGAAAGCTGAAGTAGTAGTAGCATGATCGAAGGAAACCATGTCCCATCCCGTCCCATCCTAGCCATGTGTCGTATGTCGGTATGTTGCTTCTCCAGGTTTATCATTCCTATATGACCGAGGGGGGAGAATATGCCATGGAATGATTGTGAGTTCCATTGAACGTAAGGTGATGAATAAGACAGGTGTCAGTAGATCCAAACAATTCCAGGGTTTACCTGCTTGTTCTGGATTGGTGTGCGTATGCGAATAAAAATTCGAATGCGAGATGTGATTTCTCTCTCGATGATTCGGTTCGTAGGCGCCAGAGGATACCGGTCATATATTGGGGCCCTTTGCTGGCCCGACACAGAAATATAATATAAGATGATTCCCAACCGTTAAAACTCCGTCCAGTAGCGTAACACCGATGCGAGCAGGAATATTAATTCCGCTCTGTTCCGAATTAAATTCCAAAAAAAAATAAGAGGAGAAAGAAATCCCAGCAAATCACAGCACACGTACACGGAAGAAGGTATAATTTCACCTCCTGTCGGAATATATGAAGTGGAATACAGACAATGGGGTTAGAAGATGCCGTTAACGATATTTGAGCCGATGGTGGCGCCAGCACCGAAAATAGCTGCCCGGTAAAGAAGGGTAAGTTAAACTGAGAGATGCTGTAGGCGGTTTGAAATAGAGAGAACTTACCTGCATTACCCATCTTCTTGCCGAACTTCTTGCCGTTTTCTTCAAACTTGCTTGGTACCTTTCCATGCGACGATGTGCCAGACTGGGATATCTCTAGGGGCATGTTGTTGTAGCTGATGGGTTGGGGAGAGTGGATGATGGGTTTTTCCTCTGTTACGCTGACGTATGTCCGTGGGAAAATACCCTCAAGGTGTGTCCGCTCGTTTCTGCCACGCCACCCTACAAGGAAGTTAGCTACCGGCCACTTGTACACGTGTAAAGAGGATGCTACATACAGTCGTTGTTCATATGCTCCAGTACCTGGATGCGATCGTTAGGCTGCAGTGCCAAGTCTCCAGCATCAGTTGGCGTGTAGGCGTATAGAGCTGAAGCAAGAGACAGGACTGGAGGAGCGGAAGAGTACGTTGGAGGCGGAGGTGGGCTCGAGTATGAACTTTCGGACTTCTCGTTCAGATTGACCCTGGATAGCTGGGCAGCTGGGGGCGAGTATGAGGTCTCCGCGACTGGGGCGTGCAGCTGCGTCTGGCTGGGTAGCTGTTCGAGGATAGATGATAACTGTGCAGGAGTAATGACGGAGGAGTCGGCAAGAAATTCGAGTTCCTATTTCAGCCCCAGGAGTTAATAAATATACAGGCAAAGAGTCCGGATGTAAACACCGGCCTATCCGTCCGACGAGGCCGGATCCGAAAAGATTTCATCGACTCAACGAAGAGACAACGGGAGAAGGGAGCCAACGAACAGTTCTGATGTTCCGTAGGGACCGGTTGGCCATGGCGATGGACATGGTATTCTGGTTCGACATGGTGTGCGTAATGTGTTTCTCTCCACGAGGAGACGGTACTTAACGAGGGTCGTAGCACTATGGGTATGAGTGTAGTTAGGACAGAGGGTGTCCTGCTTCAAGACGACAGCTGGACTGTAGGAAGATCCAGCAAGGAAGCAAGACGGCTATGGAGGAGGAGGAAGAGTTGCTGGTTTGATGTCAAAAAAAAAAAGGCTTCGTCGATTTATTATTATTGATGGCGGTTGAAGATAAGTTGGTGGCACTCACGTGCAGTTCCAGACCAAGTTTGAACTTCTTATCGCCTTTTTTATTTATCGCCAGTCGTTCTTCTTCTCTCGTTCTCTTCAAGCACTTCTTTTCCCTTCTCTTCTATTGTTCCTGTGTCTGCAAGTTCGGAAGACATGCACATACAGGAAGAGGAAGAGGAAGAAGCGGATGTTTCGAAGATGAAAAACAGGCCCCCTTGGAAGGCTAGTCAGGGCGGCGAGAGGATATTTCCTGTTTGGGATGAGTGTCCCACCACTTCTGCGTGTTCGTAAGCCAACGCCGCTTTTACTTATGCTGAGTCATCTGCCTTTTCCCCTTGCTCAGCCACGAGAGAATCAAGAAAAAAAAAACAAAGCAGAAGAAGAAGAAGAAAAAGCAAGCATGAGAAGGGCTGAGAGATCCGTGGATGGGCTTTTTATACTTACTATGAAGGCATAGTACGGAGAAGCGGAGACCGACAGGGCAAGACAACTTTCAGCTGGTGATCGCGGTTACAGCTGGTCAAACGATGTTACTTGCTACAGACTTGATACATATCATGTATACGAGCCGGTGTTTTGGAGTCGTTCCTCTATATCGTGAATCAAGCAGATCGTTCGTTTGATAGACACGCTTGTTTTCATGCTGGCAAGGAGATGAACTTGTTTGCTTGTTTCATGCGGCCCTGGACTCGATGTTCTGCATGGAAAAAACAGAGAGAGAGAGAGAGATCGATCCGTGGCTTGGTGGTTCCTCTGCGGCGTCTCTCAACTCCTCACATCCCGTGTTTCTCCCCCACTTCTACGGCTCTCTTGCGACCGAATTCTATGGACGGATGGGCCTTTTCTTTCGAGGTTGATATATCTTTGACATGTCGCTTGAATGGCAGACAAGAACGCCGTTAATGCAGGAACATGCATGGGCCATGCTATAGTGTAACCGCTCCTCGGAGCCAGGTTGAACAAGTTGCCACTTACAAGACTTTCACATCATCCCACACTCTGTCGAATGGTGTTTCCGAGTGACAGCCGAGTCAAGTACAGGTGCGGATGTGCCTTGATATTTATTCTACTCAAGGTCGGTTCTCTGCGGAACTCTCCTATTTCCCGACAAAGGGATGTGTTGCGGCAGGATAAGGGATCACCAACTGAATGATTGCAGCAGCATAGCTGTTCACTTATCCCGTTGCAATCGCAGACAAGCGACAGACTGTGATAGGAATTACCATCTCTATCTAGAGAGCTGTGCCTTATGCATGCTGTGGAGGCACCTATCTATGATCTTGGCCATTCTCTACTCAGCTTATACCTGGATATAGCATGGATATTACAAAGTGAAGAGTGTTTTGCCCACCGAGCTTATGGTTCTTCTGCTTACGTTCACAAGTGAGACGGTCTCCTTGGGATAAGTTACTACCCCATGCAATGGCACTTACTTTAATGCATATAAACTGGACCCGATCCAAGTCTTAGTCACTTTGGCTCTTTCACATCAATGCATGTTCTTTGTCGCTGGTGGGGGCTGGGCCAAATGCCATTGAATAAATTATGTGAATGTTCTGAGGGAAGTCCAGCAACCCCCTAGTGAACAGAATATACCCATATACCCCTCTATATATGCATACACACACATATATATCCATACCTTGTTATGCCGTTTTGGTAGACCTCCTCTCTTCCCTACCTGATAGACAAGGCTGGAGTACTACTTAACGGAACCTTGACCCAACACATCCATACTTAGATCAGAATAGCTATACAAACCTCTTTATGATGGATCTTGGGCTAGACAGGAGCAATCCCGCAAGCATCTCACCCAGCTGTAGTAGCAATCATACTGCTAGGCGCAGCACATTAAATTTCTCTCGTCCACTGCCACAGCAGCTGTCGTCAACTGATGGTGAAAAGGTTCACCGGTCTACCGACCGTCAAAACAGATTTCACTCCGCTGGGTCCTCTGGGGAGTACCTTATCCCATCGCCTACACATGGCGCAATAAATCTAAACCCCCCCAACCTCACACACCGGCCTAGGTCTCCCGTCAGCCCTAGTATGCTTTCTCCCCCGCTATCCCCTTCACGGGCACCGGTATCAGGTCCGATAAGGTACTCCAGCGGGCAATACCACAGAGCTAGCTCCAGGCTTTCCATTCCAAGAACAAGACCAGGCCCACGGCCTAACTCTATCATATCAATCACCCCAGCAGATCTTCCCGGGATATCTCATTATCGCCCCATATCATATGGCCAGCTGAAGGAGATTTGTCGAGTGGCTGAACGAGATGACAGACATAAGTTCCCGTCCCTGTCTGAGGAGCAGGGTGAATTCTGTTCAGAACCACCCGATGGTGGGTTCATGGCATGGGCCCATGCTGCCTCTGGATTTTTCATCACTTTTAATACCTTGTGAGTTCGGCCTAAAAATCTCCTCGACCGTACCATGCTAATGTATGAATCCCAGAGGGCTGAATATGGTAACTTACTTATTCCGAACTACACCCCACCCGTTTAACCGATACTAAACCTCTGTCCAGGGTTTTGGTGCTTTCCAAGCTTACTACTCTAAAGTCATGTTACCAACTTCGAGCCCGTCCAAAATCGCCTGGATAGGTTCTTTCCAAATATTCGCTAGCTTTGGTCTTTTTCTACTGGTCGGCCTACTAACCAGCAAAGGCTATTTCAAGCTCTGTTTCCGCGGAGGTGCTGTTGGCCTCATGACAACCATCCTGTTAACCGGTTTCTGCAAAACGTGGTGGCAGTTCTTTCTCGTACAGGGGGTGTTGATGGGCTGCTCAATGGGTCTGGTTTTCACTTCTGCTGTGACAGTTACAACGACATATTTTTCAACAAATCTGGGGATTGCTACAGCGCTGGCGGCTGTAGGCTCAAGCTTTGGTTTGCCGCTGCCTTTCATTTCCATAGCAGAACAAATTGCCGACGTTTCTAATGATGATATGAATAGGCGGAGTGATACACCCGGTTATATTTAACTACTCCATTCATAAAGTTGGATTTGGATGGACGCTTCGAAGTACGTAACAGGAATAATTGAGAACCAAGGCTATGGCTAACCCAGCACAGTTATATTGCTGGTGAATATAGTCACCATGATATTTCCATTAATTATAATTCGAGAGCGGCCCGGAGTGCCAAGGAATTCCAATAGCACCATGGATTGGACCATGTTTACGGATACCTCTTACCTACTGATGGCGGCGGGTATGTAACATCTTCTATATTTCGGCATGAAGAGATTGACTGACTAACATGTCCTTAGGAATGTTCTTCGCTTTCTGGGGTGTCTACTTTGGATTCTACTTTGTAAGTGTGCTCCAGGCCATACTAGAAGATATCAACAGTGGCCATGCTGACGAGCCAGATATCCCTATTTGGTCAGGACGTCCTACACATGACACCACAGACGTCCCTCAACCTACTGATCGCCATGAACGTCTGTAACATGCTCGGCCGCCTGGTTCCAGGCATAATCAGTGACGCATGTCTTGGCCCTTTAAACACCGTAATACCTTTTGTTTTCACGTCGGCGACTTTTATATATATCTGGATAGGTGTTGATTCGGTAACTAGCATGTTCCTGACCGGATGTTTTTACGGGTTCTCTGCTGCAGCTATTCAAAGTCTTTACTTGCCGACCGTGTTCAGTTTCATGGGAGGTAGCCGCAACAACTCACCCTCACGAGTGGGAATGGTCTTTATACTTATAGCTCTTGCAACGCTGACAGGAGCGCCCATAGGAGGGCGCCTCATCGTGCTGAGAGAGGGGTCTTATCTATATGCCCAGCTCTTCGCTGGGATGTCGTTAACGCTAGCTTCTACTTTATTCTTGGCTGCACGGTATGTGAAACACGGCTGGAAGTCGGATAAGCTGTGAGAACTTTGGCTATAATCTCGCCTCTTTTATACTCTATCATAGATTTATCAAAATATAACTACGGCCTTTGCGTTCGAATCCCCTGCTGAGTAATAAAACATGACTCAGCACCGGTATCCCAATCTGGGAGGCGGTGAAAACTTAGCTGAGTCATCGACAAACTCCTTTGGGGTTTAGCGCCTCTCGAACATTCTTCGTCATATTTTAAAGCCCTTCGCAGCCGCTCTTCTTAAGGCTTTCAAACCGCCAAACACCATCATCCTCATCATCCACACGCAGACCATATACATCGGATCCTTTAACATACCTGCTCTGTGCTTTTTTTTACTCTCTTAAAAGCGTACATTTAGCGATACCCGTCTCTTCGAGCGTACCCCAACCATCAGCCATACATACACCCCACATCCGTCAAAGGACAATCGATAAGAAGCCATCCAAACATGTCTGACTGGGATACTGTCACTGTCATCGGCAAGAGTGCCCGCGGCGGCTCTGCTCCTCGTGAGACCGTCGTCAAGGGCCGTTCTGCCATCAACGCCGCAGCACGATCTGGCATGATCGTCGGCACAGAGAAGAAATACGCCACAGGCAACTCTGTAGGTTCAATCTCACTCCCAGACCGACAGGATATAAGCTAGCAGGACGCTGCTGACACCACACAACAGGCCAGCCGTCCAGCCGTCGAGGGCCAACATCTGACGAAAGTCGACCGATCAGACGAAATCGTCAAGCCAAAGACCGTAGGCTACGAGGTCGGAGATGCGATTAAGCGCCGCCGCAACGAAGAAGGCATCAAGCTAAGTCAAAAGGAGCTTGCCACGAAATGCAACACCACCGTCTCTGTCATTCAAGACTTTGAACGTGGAACCGCTGCACCCGACCAGAAGGTGTTGGCCGCCATGGAGAGGGTGTTGAACGTCAAACTGCGTGGATCGGGGATTGGGCAGGAGAAGTTCCCTAAGAAGAAGTAAATAGCTCTTTTTTATTACTTCTCTCTCATTCTTAGACTTCTCTTGCCCTCCTTCCTGTCCATTTTCCTCGTTCTTTTTTCTTGTCTACCTTTTTTTGCCTGCTGGTCAAGTTAGCTGGCGTTTTTCTGGTGGGAAAGGTAAAAAAGACAACATGACACGTGACATCTTTGTTGTCCGGCTTTTTTTGTTTTTTGTTGATGAATATATAAATATTGCTTCAGCTATAGAAGAATGAATTACAATTATGTCTATTGAAAAAGTTGTGAAGTCGGCACGAGTTTGAAGAAATAGAATAGAATCATCTGAATATTCCCGTCTATCTAGATCTAACTCTACAGCTTGGCCTCTCCCAAGCTCTTCTGCAACCGTTTCTCAACGGCAGCAAGGTACTCCTTGGTGGTGACCCAGCTTTCCCTGTCCTTACGACCGCACGCCAAGGCCAGATCCTTGGTCATAATGCCCTCGACATCAACGACCTCGATACAGGCGCGCTCGAGCTGTTCGGCAAATTGGACGACCTCCGGGGTTTCGTCGAGCTGGCCACGTCGGACGAGACCTCGGGTCCAGGCAAAGATGGAGGCAATTGGGTTGGTGGAGGTTTCGCGGCCAGCTTGGTGTTCGCGGTAGTGGCGGGTGACAGTGCCGTGGGCGGCCTCAGACTCGAAGGCATCGCCGGCAGGGGTGGTGAGGGTGGAAGTCATGAGCCCAAGAGAGCCGAAGCCCTGAGCAACGATATCGGATTGGACGTCACCGTCGTAGTCTTAAGATGAGCAGTTAGTAAACCCACCCCTCTCACTTCAGCTTCAAGGGCAGCGGGAAAACTCACTCTTCATGGCGATGACATAGCCTCCCTCGGACTTGATCATCTGGGCAACCATGTCGTCAATGAGGCGGTGCTCATACCAGATACCCTTGGCCTCGAAATCAGCCTTGTACTCTTTGTCGTAGATCTCCTGGAAGATGTCCTTGAAACGGCCATCGTATTTCTTCAGGATAGTGTTCTTGGTGCTCATGTACATGGGCAGGCTCTTGAGGCTGGCCAACTTGAAACTGGCGTGTGCGAATCCGCGAATGGACTCGTCGAGGTTATACTGTGTCTGGGCGATACCGGGGCCCTTGAAGTCATATACCTGGATACGCTCTGGCTCACCGCCGGCGGGAGTGTAGACGAGCTCGAGAGTGCCGGGTCCGGGGATGAGGCGGTCTGTGGCACGGTACTGGTCACCGAAGGCGTGACGGCCGATTATGATGGGTTTCTTCCAGCCCGGAACGAGCTTGGGGATGCGTGGGATGACAATGGGTTCGCGGAAGACGGTTCCTCCACTATGAGTAATGTCAATGAACTGGTCCATTTCTTCTGGAATGCCATGATGACGGGCTTACAGGATGTTTCGGATGGTTCCGTTGGGAGATAGCCACACTGAGGGTAAGAGTTAGCAGACGGTCAAGAAAAGAACAGGGATAGCAACGGCTATTTGAGACTTGCTCTTCTTCAGCTTGAACTCCTCCACTCTGGCCTCGTCAGGGGTGATGGTTGCACACTTGACACCAACGCCATACTTCTTGATAGCCTCTGCGGCATCAACGGTGACCTGGTCGTCTGTCTGGTCACGGTACTCGAGGCCCTATAACAAAGTCTATCAACACTAATTCTTCTCCCGTGGTAAATAGAACTGGTAAACCTACCAGGTCGTAGTACTTGAGGTCAACTTCGAGGTATCTACCCTATCCTTAGCCTCGACGTTCACCTCCCCTTTGAAAGCTCGGGTATTATACTAACGGTGTGATAAACTAGGAGCTCGTTAGAATTTGATATACCGAACATCTTCTCAAGACATGTGTGCATACCTTGTCCTTGATATCCCGCCAGATGATTCTGGTCATCTAATCCCCAAAATATCAGCCAATTGGCACCAACCATACACGATACATGCACTGTGCATAAGCATACCTCATCACCATCGAGCTCAACGATCGGGTTCTTGACCACGATCTTCCGCCTGGTAGCCGTCATGTTGCGTTTGAAGGAGCTTCCGTGGACAAGAGGGGAGTGACTGATAGCGTTCGGCAGAGCAGGACGTAGGTACGAAGATGAAGGCAGAGAAGACAGAGAGGGTGACCTGCCCACGGTCGAAAACAGGCGACTCCCCGTGTTAAAAGAAGAGGCGAAGGTGCAGGTGGGCTGGCAGCGGGAGCGGATAACCCAGCAGCAACCCTGGCGGAAATGGCCGGAAGTAAGCCGAACAGCAGCCATGTTAATATACTTCTATTATGTCTTGCTGCCTCTTATACGGAGTACAGGCTCTCTTTTTTTTTTTTTTTTTTATTCCTTTCTCCGGGGGGCGTGTGAGTGGTGGAGTTTTTTTTTTTTTTTTTCTGTTTGGAGGGAATGGGATGGGATGATGCGAAGTTTCAGCGATTGCCCTTAGCTTTGACCTGCCAGATCCTCCCACAACTAACTGTTAGGGTGGATGGCGCTAGAGGTTGGTTGGGGAGGAAGTACGGAGAGGGATCAAGGGAAATGGGAGGAGGTTCGAGAGGTGGAGTTTTTTTCTTTTTTGTGTTATATCCGGCGGTTGAGATCTAATGCCGCGGTTCTGGTTGGTCCGGAGAGGTGGTCGTGCCTATATAAGGCAGTACCTAGGTATACAGATATGGTTATATGTGCTCCAAAGTAGGCAGAGTGATCGTCTGGACGCTGGAAGTTGGTAGGTTGATATCCCGTTCTCGAGACTGCCGGCAATTTCGAGGTCGAGATCCTCTGGACGTCAAGTCGGCCGACTCCCTGTATATAACCCTTATGTACGTCTTCCCCTGGCTGGAAGCACCGGCTGTTTCGCGGGATCAAACACTAACGAACCTCAGCTTCCTCTCCACGCTGCTGTGAACCTCTGTATGCGTAGCATGATCTCTCTCTTCTCTTCTTTCCCTTGTATATAAAAAGAGCTTCTTCAAACTTATTATGTAACTCGCGGCAAGTCATGCTCCGTCTTTCCCTTTTCCGCCGTTTTTGCTCTCGGGAAACTACGTCATGACTAAGCAACCCCTCCGCGGGGCAACGGAGAACTTTACTCCGCCGGCTCTCGGCACTTCTTACTCAGCCGCTTAGTCATCCCGTCGTCTTGTATGGAGAGGCAGTACATGCTATGTAGCGGGTAATACTTTTGCAGGGAGCGTCTTGCCGGTGCATCGATGTGGTAGCTACAAGAGTTCGCTCTCTCTCCCTCTCGGCCAGGCTCCGAGCAGGAGGGGCAGCTCCCCTACATATACTTACATAGTATGTGCCCTGCACAAGAGGGGACGAACCTGTGCATATGCAAGGGCAAGGGCAGGGAAGATACAGGGCGGGCGGCCAAGGGGTCACGGGGCTTAGGGCCGGCTACTCCAGGCGGAGGATTACTCAGCCGGCCTTGTCAGCAAAGAGGTCTGGCCGGCTTAGTCATATATCAAGACACTTGGATAAAGCTGAGTTGGTTCTAATGTGTATACGTCTATGCAATCGTTTAAATGGAATAGAAGATTGTGAGCACGTTGAAGTAGCCCTCTCCCCTTCTCCCGGTCTTCAAGTCTCAGAAGAGACCGTCGATCTCTCCCGTCTCTGCGTCGACGTCGACGTTCAAGTAGCCTGGCGCAGTCGGCAGGCCGGGGATGGTTTGGATATCGGCTGCAAGTGCATATCTACTCCAGTTAGACAAGAAGACAATACTATGAAAAAAAAGAAAAGAGGAAGAAACCTACAGGTATCCAGCGCCAACGGCAAGTCTGACGTCTCTGATAGGTACCACGAACCCTTCCGGAGCTCCCTTGAGACTCGGGTCGTGGCTGAGCGAGTACTGCGTTTTGGCAATGCATATCGGCAGGTTGCCGTAGCCCTGTTTCTCGTACATCTCGACCTTACGCGCAGCCAGCTCGCTGAACTCGACTGCGCTGGCACCGTACATCTCCCGGCCGATGGTCGTGATCCGGTCCTGCACGCTGCCTTCCAGATCATACAGGAAGGAGAACGACTTGGGTTGCGAGGACGCCTTGACCACTGCCTCTGCCAGGTCGACGGCTCCCTTACCGCCGAGAGCCCAGTGGTTGGCGGGAACTGCATCCTCGGCGCCAGCTGCAATTGCCTCTTCGCGGATGACGGCGTGCTCGGCCGCGGTGTCGGTCTCGAAGACGTTGATGGCCACCACGACGGGCACGCCGTAACGTTTGGCGTTGCTGATGTGCTTGCGTAGATTCACACATCCCTTTCGTAGCAGTTCTGTATCTTCCTGTCTGTATGCCTCTGGCAGGGCGGCGCCAGGGGTGATGTCTGGCCCGCCACCGTGCACCTTGAGTGCGCGTACCGTAGCGACGATGACGACGGTGTCGGGCACAAGGCCTGAGGAGCGGCACTTGATGTTGAAGAATCTCTCGCCGCCCATGGTGAAGTCGAAGCCGGCCTCGGTCACCACGAAGCCGGTGGTAGAGTCGTGGTCCTCGTCGGGCTCGGTGCCGGCCAGCTTGAGGGCCAGCTTGTCGGCCACCACCGAGTTGGCACCAATGCTGATGTTCGCGAACGGACCAGCATGGACAAACACCGGCGTACCTTCGAGGGACTGCATCAGGTTGGGTTTGATGGCATCCTTCATCAGAGCGGTCAGGGCACCGCCGGCACCGATATCGTCGCATGTCACTGGCTCACCCGAGCGGGAGAAGGCGACGACCATGCGGCCCAGCCGCTCACGCATGTCGGCCAGGTCGTTGCTGAGTGCGAGGATGGCCATACACTCTGACGCCACGGAGATGTCGAAGCCCGTCTGTCTGGTGTGCCCCTTTTCGGTAGCCGCCTGGCCGACGGTGATGGTTCGCAGATGTCGGTCGTTGACGTCCAGAACACGGCGCCAGGTGATGGTCTCTGGGTCGATGTCAAGTCTGGCAAACCGCTTGATCTCTTCCGGAGTGAGCTCGTTGGGATCCGTCTTGGTGATACCCAGCTTCTTCAGCCGACGGAACATGATCGGCTGGAATTCACGCTTGCCCTTCTTCGTCGGCACAAGGCGTTTATACAACCCGGCGTCGGGAGAGGTGGCTTCATGGAACATGCGTGTCTCTAGGGCGGCTGCCAGCAGGTTGTTTGCCGCTGTGATGGCGTGGATGTCTCCCGTCAGGTGCAGGTTGAATTCGTCCATGGGAATAACCTGACTGTATCCACCACCGGCAGCGCCTCCCTTGATTCCAAAGGTTGGTCCCTGGCTGGGCTGGCGCACGTTGGCAAATACCACACGGTTCAAGTGTGCCCCCAGCGCCTGGGTGAGTCCCATCGTGGTAGTGGACTTGCCCTCACCCAGCGGGGTAGGCGTGATACCGCAGACGAGGATGTACCGGCCATTCCGTCGATGGCTGAGACGGGAGAGGACGTCGAGACTGACCTTGGCCTTGGTGTGGCCGTACGGCTCGACTTCATGAGGCGCAATGCCTACTTCGGAAGCTATCTGGGTGATTGGTTTTGGCTTCTGGGAGCGGGAGATGGCAATGTCAGAGGGCACGGGCGACTGTGGATTGATGGAGAGTGGGCTGATGGTACGACTGCGTTCCTTGTCAAAGTAGTAGCGCGCAGACTTGACGACGTTCTGCAGCAACATGGCTACCGTCATGGGGCCCACGCCGCCGGGTACGGGAGTAATCTGCGAGGCCACTTCGACGGCGCCGGCATAGTCGACATCACCGACCAACCTCTGGCCAGACTTCTTGGTGTCATCGGGAATGTAGTTGGTCCCAACATCGATAACGACCACGCCAGGCTTGAGCCAGTCAGCCTTGACGAACTCAGCCTTTCCAATGGCAGCAACGAGGATGTCTGCCGTCTTGACAACTTCTTCAACGTTCTTAGTCTTGGAATGGCAGGTCGTGACCGTCGCGTCGGCGTTCTTTAGCAAGTAGCTCACGGGGCTGCCTACGATATCACTCCGTCCCAGCACGACGGCATGCTTGCCCGCCATCTCCACGCCGCTGGCATACAGCAGCTCCATGACTCCCTGAGGCGTACACGGGACGAAAGTGGGCTTCCCTCCGCGCTTGGCCAGCTCGCCGATGCTCAGGGTGCCGAAGCCGTCGACATCCTTCTCGGGCGAGACTGCAGAGGTGACGGTGTGTTCAGACATGTGGTCTGGCAGAGGCAGCTGCACGAGGATGCCATGGACAGAGGGATCGCTGTTGTCGGTAGCTATGCGGCCGAGTATGTCAGACTGAGGGGTGTCCACGGGCAATTGGACATGTCTGCAGATAATAGCTGCCTAGGAAGCCGTCAATAGATATATAGATAGGTATACACAAGGCAAAAACGGGCTGACCTCCTCGGCGGCCTTCAGCTTCATGCGAACATAGGTGCCTATCCGGTCAGTGCAAGTCGTAGCGTGTAGGTATCAGGGCAGCCATACTGGAATCCGATCGTTCGCCCACTATCCGTTCAGTCAGCATCTAACGCAAATCTACACGTATGTATCTATGTATTATGAGAACGCACCCTGGTAGATGACGAGGGAGGGCTTGAAGCGCGGGTTGGTCTGCTGGGTCTCCTTGATCTCGCCGTTGAGGCGTTCTCTGATGGCCCTGGCGATGGCGGTGCCGTCTATCTTGGAGGCTCCCATGGCTGCGGTGGTCGACTGTGGGACAAGGGTGTCTTCTGAGAAGGGCGATGCAGAGGCTGGAGAGAGAGGAAGAGGAAGCGAGGAGGCCGCGCGGGGGAAGCTGAAGAAGAGGGCGGGCGGGGCTCGTCGTTGGCCCGCAGCGGACAGGGAGGAGAGGCGGAGGAAGGCAGGTCGGCGGCCCCCGGACAGGACGAGAGGCCGCCCGCGCAGAGAGGAGGAGAGGACAGGCCGTGACATGTCTCTTCTGGCATCTTTGGCCGTCTTCTCTTCGTCCTTTTCCTTTTCTTTTGCGTCTCTTCTTGTTACTCGAGATGAAAACTCTGACTGATAAGATAAAGCCGTTTCCCCTGAGGCTCTACAAGGTGGTTATGCATAGATATAGACTCGTAGATGTAGATGAGTTGATATCTACTGCAATGCTATCCAGTACTTTATCTACACTTGGTGACAGCATGTTATGGGCCTGTTGAGTGTCCTCCATCCACCAAGTGCACATACTGACCGCAGCGAATACGCACCCAACGACCTTAGAGAGCTATCGACTTCTACCAAGATATGCAGTTTACTTACTACAAGCGTAGAAGAAGACAGTATCGAGTCTCAGGTGCTTTCTCACCGGCCTCTAGTCATACATGGCTCTACTTCTCCTACGCAAACCAATATCTATCCCAACATCACCAAAACGACCAGCCGAATAAAACCAAATGTATACATAGGTTAAGATGTAAATGCGACTAGACTTTGATGTATGAGCAGGTTCATCAGACATCTGAATTTATTCCCCTCTTTAGGCAGAGCATTTCTGAGGCTTGGTTGATACAATATATCGAGACTATGGCCATAGGCGTTCTGTATATATATATATATATCAGGTGTGTTGTTGAATAACCAAACTGTCCACCCGCATTTCTAAAGCATTAGTCTATATCTGTTTATAAGGAGATGTCCGAGCAACTGATGAGGTCTATATCGGTGGCTTTGTAGCTTCGTTGCTGTTATGATGGAAATATGACCAGTAGCAAAAAATATAAAAACATACGAAAGTCGGGATTCGCTGGTGGTCACCCACCCAACTACTAACCGACCGGCAAGTGGCTTAAGTACAGCTGAGCGGACGGGAAGCTCTGTTTTCCACTTCCTATGTTCGTATGTACCAGACTTAAAGACGAGGGGGTAGATATAGGGGAGAGAAAGTAGCTCTCCAAGACAGACATCCATCATCTATCAGTTGTTGCCCAGTTATTGCTCCTACCATCCAGTCTTCCGTCCATTATTACCGCCAGGCGTCAAGCTGGTTTTTTTGTCGGCGCGAACTTGCAAGTGGAAGAATAAAAGTCCGTATTAGTCAGCCATGATGTAAAAGTTCTGTTGTGGGCGAAGAAATTAATTCAAAGTCGAAAAGACGAAGAGAGAGAGATAAGAACGGCCATACCAATAACCAGACATATATACAAGACTTCATACGGACAGGACACGGTTTATAGCCACAGCATACACAGGATGAGGCCAATCCTTCTCCAGGGACATGTTCGTCAAACCCCCTCTCCCAATCTGCCTTCTCTCTTCATGTCGTCACCCCCGCAACTTCAGCTAACCCGGCTTGCTTAGGAACGATCCCTGACCCAGATCAGATTCTCGCGCGACGGCGACCTGCTCTTCTCTGTCGCCAAAGATAAGAATATATGCGTTTGGTACTATGCCAACGGTGAGCGGCTAGGCACCTACTCCGGCCATCTGGGTGCCCTCTGGACCATCGACCCGTCTCCCAACACCATCCTGCTGGCCTCGGGCGCCGCAGACAACTCCGTCAAGCTATGGAACATCAAGACCGGCGAGTGCGTCAAGACATGGGACTTCCCCACCGCCGTCAAGCGGGTAGAGTTCTCCGCCGATGGATCGAAGCTGTTGGCCGTCACCGAGAAGCGAATGGGGTACCTGGGCACCATCGTCGTGTTTGATATTGCCTACGGAGACGGCGAGGGGAACAATCTACACGAACAGGCCGACGAGCCCATTCTGAAGATCACCTGTGAGGAGAGCAAGGCTACCGTTGCCGGCTGGAGCTATCTGGGGAAATACATCATTGCAGGACACGAGGATGGAAGTGTCAGCCAGTATGATGCAAAGGTAAAGACGTATTATCTACGTTCTCTACTGGAGCCATTGACTAACGGTGTATGCAGACTGGCGAACAGCTGGAGAACGTACAGGCCCACGAGCTCGACTGCAAGATCACCGACCTCCAGTTCTCCGCTGACAGGACATACTTCATCACCGCCTGCTCCGACAAAACCGCCAAGGTATGTCTCTGCTCTTTGTCTCCCTTTTTTTTAAGAAGACTACGCTAATTAGGACTGTAGATCCTCTCCTCAAGCACGCTCGAAATCCTCAAGACCTACACCGCCGACACCCCCCTCAACACCGCTGCCATAACCCCAAAGAAGGACTTTGTCGTCTTAGGTGGTGGCCAGGCCGCCATGGACGTCACCACCACCTCCGCCAGACAAGGAAAGTTCGAGGCCCGGTTCTACCACAAGATATTCGAGGACGAGATCGGCCGTGTCAGAGGCCACTTCGGTCCCCTGAACACGATTGCCATCCACCCTGCCGGCGTGGGATATGCGTCCGGCGGAGAGGACGGATACGTACGTGTGCACCACTTTGATAAGTCCTATCATGACTTTATGTACGAGGTTGAGAGGGAACAGTTGAGGAAGTGACTTGTCTTTTTTCTTTCCTTCTTTCTTCTCTCACCCAGTTTGTTCCTTTTCTTTTTTTTTTTTTCAAATAAAAATTGGTTGGGTTGTTTAATGTCTCTTGACGATAATTTTATTCCTTTTTTTTTCATCTCTCTCTTCGCCTTTCCTTTCTTTTGGTTCCCCCAAACCTTTGCACTGCATCTGCATTCGTTTTCCCATGGTGTTGTGTTCACTTTCATGTTCATGTTTGGCTTGACAAAACGAAGAAGGAAAAAGTGGAAAAAGAGGAGAAAGGGAGTGTTCTAGATGGGATGGCCTCCTGCTACTTTGCTGTCTTTTCTGTCTGGTTCTGGTTCTGTTCTGGTTCTGGTACTTACGAGATGAGCCCATGGATAGAAAATGCAAAATGCAATGATTCATGATTCATCCCCAGCGGCAGGATTCAACTTATAAACGCTGCAAGTATCTTCCTACCTTAATATCAGCATCCTCCATATTGACACCACTGATACCCAAGCCAGAGCCGAAGAACCGGCCACATAGAAGCGTCTAAAGTGACGTCACCGTGAAGGACTTTTTCAACCTCTTGACATAGACAAACATTCAACCTCCAAGCGCAAATTCGATGTCGCTGGATCAAGTCTACAGCCGATCCTCTACAGGTCTTATTCTCGGGCCCTACCCCCGAGAGCACTATAAAGACGGCTGGCAGATGGTAGCCGCTAAACGGCAACCATTCCAGTTCTTCTCCGTCTCTTAAAAAAAACTCCCCGAAGACTCATCCATCAGCCACACTTTAAGCCCATGGCGATCTCTGACGGCATCATGCGTTAAGTCGGAGGCGGCCGACCTTCCAAGGAAGTCGAAGGAGGCTGTGACAGGAAGTTTGCTGCCCAACAGAGTCAGCTTAGTTGGCTGGTGGGAGGTCATATATACTCCGCACACACTTACACTTATATATTGTCTGCCGAAGTATCCCGCGCTTTCGGATCATGCTACCAAAAAGCAAAGGTTTCACTCTTCGGCGCCGTCGATGCCAAACGGGCTATATGTCTTCTCTGCTATGAGTCTGTTCCCGGGGGGGGGGGAACCACTCCTTGTTACGGAGTACGGAGTACACATTCACTACTCATGCACTCGCCAGGGAGGGAAAAGAAACAGTCATTTTAATTTCGCGCCAGGCTGGGATTCGCGATCACAAGCAAGCGAAGAAGAAGAGGAGGAGAGAAAAGAAAAAAAATCACTGGAAAAAGAAAAGAAGAAAATTGAATCCATCCATTGTTTAAATAGAAAAAAGGGCAAAAAAAGGGCAGATTTCGCCGTTGCTGATCGGGACTGTCGCTGCCAACTCTTATTACGATTCTTGTGTTCTCTTCTTCTTTCTTTTGCTTCATCTGAAATTAAAATAAGACCCAGCAGCCTGCCGTCTTCTCTGTTTGTACTGTCTTGTCCTGCTGTCTCGCTTTTCTTTCTCTATATATCATTCTGTCCTGCGATCTAGCTCAGTCGCTTTCGAAGTTTCTCTTTGCTGCGCCGGCTCGGGGAAAAGAAAAGAAAAGAAAAGAAAGTCGACCTTCACTCTAGATATATCCTCGTCGGCTCTGTCTAGCGTTCGAAATGGCTTCTTCGTCTCTGTCACTCCTCGTATTTTCGGTCTGCTTCTCTCATAGTCTGCTCTGACTGCCCATCTGACTCGATATATCATCCACTTCCCACCCTCCGGTCCCCCCCCCTCCGACTCCTAATACTCGCATCCTCATTACCGGCCCTTCATACATCTCGCTGTCTGCTCTCGGTCTTTCGAACTTGTTTTTCTCCGCCTCATATACACTCAGAAACCATGGTTCCGCTGGCCCGAGAGGCGCCCTTGGCAGTGAAGCCTCCCGATGCCAAGAGCGTCCTCCCTTCCGCTCCGTCACCCAATTCGAACCTCACGCCGCCCCTAACACCCGTCGAGGAGGATTCCAAGATACCCACCTTAGGCAGCGTTCAGTCGCAGGTATCACCGCTCTGGGCTGCACAGCTTGATGGACCGAGCGAGTGTTCTCTCACCCTTCAATATCGTTGCGGCCAGGACGGCAAGTTGATAGAGTACGGCAGAGGCGCCTGGAGCAGCGTGTACAGCGCCATCAGCATCGATCATGCACTCTCCCTCAATGCATCTCCACCCCGGACTCCTACTCGCGGGTCCTCAGCCTCCTCTCCTAAGCTGGGCCCTTTGAGCAGCAGCAGCATCAACAACAACACCGTGTACGCCGTCAAGGTGGCGTCTGGTCGTGAATCATACGATGCCATCTCGGCAGAAGCAGATATCTTGACCTATATACACCGTACGCCAGGCAGCACAGCTTATATAGTGCCCTTTCACGGCTATGTTCCCTCTGCGCACGCCATCGTTATGACTGCCATCCCCCTCTCATTTGCATCTTATATCAGAACCCGCGCTAGAGAAGCGGCTGCTGCTTTTAGCACGAGGACAATGCTCAAACCCGTCCTAGGGATGGTGACGTGGCTCTCCTTTGCCTCCAAGCTGGTCGAGGGAATGAGGTGGCTCCATGAGGCCGGCGTGGTCCATGGGGATATTAAGCCCCAGAACATCTTGCTTCGTCCGCGCATTCCTACCATCGGCAGCAATACCGCTACTACGACCACTACCTCAAGCAGTGCCGCCATTGATGACACAGGAGTAGATTCATTTGACCTGCTCTTCATAGACTTTACATCTTCACTCTACTCCCGTGGCAGCAACATGGCCCTGAACTCAACGGCCGGCGCTCGACTAGCAACAAGTATACCGTTCACAGCTCCAGAACTTCTATCAGTCAGCTCTATGGCCGCCGCGCCAAATCCAGAACCCTCGTCTGATATCTTTTCGTTGGCTCTCACTCTAGTTGCCGCTGCAATAGGCTACGTGGACGTCTACCCTGGCCTAGAGAGACACAGGGGTATCGCCATCGCACAGGACGGCCATCGAGTAATCGAGTTTGTCCGTTCTGGGGACCAGGGAACCAGGATCCCGCGCAAAGGCGCCGTGGAGAAGGTTATTTCTCCTGCTGTGTTGAAAGAAGCGGAGAGAAGGGTTAGTGCAGAGCAGTGGTTGGCGATTATCAGGGGTGAGATTGCGGCTTTCGACTTAAAATGATACTTGCTGGGTAGATGTCGGTCATACAGCTAAAACACCTTTTCTGATTTGTATGTTATGTGATCTTTTATGGCTGTACTTTTACCTGCCGTTGTGGCATCTGGAGCATGATAAGAATGGCGTTTGTCCTAACCTTTTATGGTTTTTTATCTTCTACTTTTACTGCTCTACGTTTCTAGATATTAAAGATATAGTCATAGCAACAAAGGTTTATGCATCATTCTTGCTTCCTGGATTATTCTCCTCTGCCTCTCTCCTGGATCGAGCTTGCTATATGCCGCCCTCCTCCTGTCCATACTTCATCGTAATTTCCATATCAAATATCAAATGTTGATAAACATGAATATAAAAAGAGAGCATCTTCTTTTCGCTCTCCTTTTTCTTTTCTCTTCCTCTAACTGCACACTCGTTATCCCAACAGCCACTACACTCGCTTGATGCATATACTAGAATATCCTGTTGATTCCATATTTTACAGCTGCACCCTGCCTCTGATTGCCCTCGCTTGGTTTGTTTACTGGTTTCTCATTGCAATATATATTTATTATTAAAGAGATAGACAAAGCACCACGAAGAAGACAACGACAACAACCATGGCCTTCCTCCTGCTGGCCGCTTTTACGCCTATGCTTCAAGTTATCTGGCCTGCCAACCGAGGAGCGCCAGAGACGATAAATGCACCGGCCCATACACCAGAAGACACCCATAAAAGTGTAGAAACGGCCCAGGAAGCAAAGGATGAAGGAGCAAAAGTCGATTCCGACCATCAATCTCATCGGGGAAACAGACGGAATTCCATTATAGACTGCATCCCCGGCCTGTCAAAGTTCAAGTGCCCGGTGACCATCTGGTCTCGGTCTAGTTCGAGTCCTTACGATGCTGCTCCGCTGTTTTATATATATAGAGAGGACGGTACCAAAGTGCCCCTGATACCTTTGGACGAGCTACCTCCCGGCCTCAAAGTCGGAAGACAGAATTGGTACCACCGCTTCTGGTTACGGTATATGATTCCTGCTTCTCTCGGCAAGTACCCGAAGAAAGGAGAGTATGAAGTTATCATTCAGACTGGCACACGACTCAAGCCGCGGATATTAAGGACACCGAGTGGTCGCATGTCTCCGGGCCAACAGGACTTGAGTAGCCCAGTTCTCGAATGCTGCAGCTGTGCAGGTGGAAATAGCTGCACACGAGAGGGTATCTGCATTTACTCTCAGCGCCCAAGCAACGCAGGAAGAGTCTCTTTGAAAACTCCTTTGTCGGCACCTCCCAGTAGAGGACGGGGTAACCGTTCAAGAAAGCCAAGCACTCCGCCAAACTCCTTAACCGCGGATGTGTCCAGGGCCCAAAGCATCAATAAAAAGGGCAACGCAGCGGAAATAGATGGGTTTCGTCTACAAAGAGGATTGGACAGGTTAGCTCGCCAACAGTCGCTTACATCGCGCAGCAGCGTATCGGACTCTCCTATGGTCCTATTGGATCTCGACTCCGTGAAGGGAACCTACAGCGATGGGTCTGTCACACCTGCATCGGTTGCAAACGATATTGCACAACAAGATATGGATTCACTGAGACTTCTGAATAGTGCTCCATCACAGCTGGGCAGAGACGAGGAGCCGAATATATCTCATAGCCAGACAATGCCATGAAACGGCCGGTGGCTAAAAGCGATATACTGTGTTAGTCGTGAACTTGACTGCCGTTCATCTGGTCTATCATAATTGGGTATAAACGTGTTTCAGTTCGTTTCTCCCTATCGATCATGTTTGCTGCTATTATGTCTGTTGCTTGGTACCTACCCATTGTCACTCCTTATATCTTGGGCTCCTCCCCCTGGCTTTCCTTCGTCTGAGTAGCTTGGCTTGTGTCTCTTTTAATATTGTCCAAAACTGTAGTTTACTGTTTCACAGCATATACACTCATTTGAGGCACGGCTCATCCGTTTATAGGTATAAATGATAACTGCCTCGCGGCAAATTCTGCATTGGTTCTATTTCCTTGGTATCAAAATAAGGTATACAACAAAAAAAGTGTCCATGGTAAGTGAGCTAAGTCACCGTCGGGGTTCGAAGGCTTCATTCATATCCGAAATAAATGCCCCTCCAAGCGACTTTGATAGAGTATTCGGCAAATTCATCTCCAGGCGCCACCTCTCCCACTCCACGGCAATATCCCAAAACACGCTGCTCGGGATGCGCTGTATGGTAGCTTCCGCTAGACATTCCACATCATATCCTACAAAAACACCCCTGCTATTAGTCTTCACTTGCTTCCATGCAGCTGCCTCTTTAGCATCCATCGTGATTTTGGGCGTCGCATACTCCGCCAATGAAGGTATAGCGGACGGGAAGTCAGTTATAGGCCTCGATGCAAATAGCAAGCGCAGAACCTGCTCTACGGACTTCTTAGGATAAGGTATAAACATCCTCAGCAGTGCACGGAAGGTAGTCAGGACCGATATATATTTGAATGACTGATTTGAGGCTTTGAATTCCCGTTGGGCTTTAAAAATAAAAGAGTTGGGGTTCGGCTGGATATCAACGATCGAGCAAGGAGTTTTGGGAGAGAATTCGTCCTTATCGACATGCAGTGGTTCATAAGCGCGTTTGTCCCAGAGCAAAAGCGGCTCGGAGGATGGGCTAGATGGAGAGCCAGTAACGCAACGCCGTTCATTCACGAATAATGGGTAATGGTGACGGATAAATTGTCTCCCCAAAGACGAGAGGATAAGATCTCGTTCTTCTTTAAGTAGTGCAAGTTTCTCCATGATCTTCCGTGCATCTCGGGCCGATGGCACCTGGAGAGTGCTATTCATCACTTTTCGAAGATTGGCTTCTATATCGTCTATATCGCGCTGTCTTTCATCTGCCTCGTGGGCAGATCGGATCTGGGAGCTTTCGTATAGATATCTTTTTTGCAGGGCGGCAAAATGTTTTCGAAGGTCCTTCAGCTTCGAGGGTATTGGGTTGCTGGCGTCAACGTTTTCTTCTTCCCTTTTCACGTCCTTCTGAGCCTTCACGTATTCATGGTGCCAGTCATGAATAGGGCGCGGGAAATAGGGCTTTTTAACACCATTTACGACAGCAGGTTTTGGGGCAAGTTCCAATGGCATTGGCTCTCGCCCAGGTGGCACTTTGACAAGCGCACTCTCCGATCGTTTTGCTACATTATCCGCACTATTTTGAACAACCTGCAGGCCCCGTCGAGTCCAATGTGTGGTCTCACTAGTATCTCCCGCCACTTCATTGGCTTCCAAAGCTACGCATTCGAGTAACGCCTGTGTCCTCCGCCGCCTGCTAATGCTCTTGGGCAGAACGGCATCTAAATTGGACGATGGAAATATCGCAATAATCCGTACCAGGCCATATCGATGGAAATAACTCTGATCTAGCATCGACTCAAAGTATTTTCGCGAATCTGAGGCTCGCAGTTTCGTCACTGAGCGAAGAAGTGTCATATTAGCCAAAACAAGTAGTGTGTCGTTCACTTCTGTGGATCCTTCCTCGCGCTCAGTTTGCTCGGGTAGGTACCCATTCTTGTATAGATCTGAGAACGTTTTATCCACAGCTGGGTCCCACGGGACATGTACGTATCGCGAGCCCGGCGACTCTAATAGAGGTTTTAGGAACGATTCGTATGTTTTGAAGTTTGGCTCGAGTAATATATGTCTTCGTGGGCGGATAAACTCATGAAAATTAGAAGACCAAATGCCCAGCCCCGGATATGCATCGACGATATCAATGGGCCGGCCATTTGGGAGGGTTGGAGCGAGTCTTTCGAGCACATCCTCTGAACTAGAAATTAGATGGGGTGATGCGCGAGTTCCTTAAGGCAAGTAGATCTTACTGCATAGTTTATGACTGGTTATATGAACCCTGGAATCTTTAATCTCTTTGATAAGTGGGTTGGCACTTTGGGCGTAGCCACGCGAGAGAACCCATCTAGACTGTATCAATGAATATGGTTTCTTTACCCAACGCATGGCGGAGGTAGATCGAATAAAGGGACGAGTCGAATGAGAGAGCGCCACTGTGGTGATCCATTGGAGCATAAGTGCCAGCTGCACCAGATATTACACCATCCGGCTAAATCTCACGATATCTGCCTGCTCAAAAAGCTTTGGATCGCAAGTTAGACGAAGCAGAGAAAACTGAAGCCAAAAGAAGCATCAAAATTATGGATCCAGCTCGCCGGTTGGTAAGTTGTCGGATAAAAGTTATTCCTGATAGATAAGATAAACTTTTATCTTTAAGGGTTGACAAATCAAGCTTAAACTTTATTTTCGCTATATGTTATTTTGCTGTGAAGTACTCAATTAAAACGCTTGTATCAAGAATCTAATCAGCTTTATTCTGATCTGCCAAGTAAGCATGGGATATATTTTTAGCCATTAGTTATGGGGATCTACATATATGAAAATAAGTACAAATAAAAAGTGTAGAGTCATATGGCTATATCCTGGAAAGACAGTATTTACATTGTGGAGCCTATATGAGGATAGTCATCCCAGGAGAAAAAAAAGGTCGCTATTTACAGTAAGATCATAAACCTCGTTGGACTCGGATAAAAGGCCTTAACAGGTGTTCAGCATAGAAGTAAGGGCGGACTTCTCGGCGCTGGTAACGGTCAGGTGGTAGACGGACTTGACCTTGATCCACATGCGGGAGTAAGTGCACCAGTAGGACTCTATAAAACCCAAGTCAGTATTTACATTAATAAGGCATTCGGGGGAAAGCGAGTCTTACGGAGTGGAGGCTTCCATTCCTCTGGGCCTTTGTCACCCTTAGCCTGGTTGACCTATTAATTGGCACATTAGTATGATGGCTTTTCCGAGTATGATCAATAAACTTACATTGTCGGTAACGGCAATCAACTGAGGGTTGGACAGGTCGTTAGCAAAACCCTGTCGTTGAGCAGTGGTCCAGGAAGCAGCACCAGACTTCCAGGCATTGCTCAATGGGACAACATGGTCGATATCAACATCGCTAGCAGCAGTCCAGGTAGCACCATCGTAGGGGCTGAACCAGGAGCCCGAAATAGCGGCACAGCTGCTGTCAACCTGCACGTTGGTACCATCACGGCGGAGGACGGTCTCACGGGTGTTGCAAGTACCAGAGATGGTGATCCAGTGTGGAAACTTGTCACGGCTGTAGCCGTCCTGAGGGCCCTGGGGGGCGACAGTGAGGCCAGAAAGGAGAGACTGAGCAGTAGAGGCGGATGGGATGTTTGGTGGAGTTGGGACCGGAGATGGGCTGGCCAGAACGGTCACAGCAGAGACAATGGCAAGAATAGTGTACTTCATCGTAGCTGTTGTACTAAGATAGAATCTTGATATGAAGGTGATGGAGTGATCAGTGATGAAAGAGACATTCCTCCTACAAGCAGAGGAGTGTTGGCTCTATATATACACACTGGGTATATAGATCTACGCCTGCCACAGAGGTATGATTCCACATGTAGCATCTTGTCAATGGAGGGAACACGTCCACTGCATGAATTAATCCTGCCGACGAGCCCACTAAGCGTAAGAGTTCATTTTACCACAGTGGAGTATAGGACACCTCGTATAGGGGTATCGTTAGCGTTGCTCAGACCAGATCCCCAGGAAGAACAGACTGGAAAATATGGCTTCCCAAGAGAAAAAGAAAGGCTCAAGATCAGCGAATCTTGCCGCTGTATAGCCATCACAGGCTATTTCCCAGCGAGTCCATTGGGTTGATAGTAGCCGTCTTGCCCATTTCTTCCCCTCTGGCTCTTGTTGATTCTGCAGCAGCATCTCTTGCAGATGATGACAGCATGCAGGCCTCGAACTAACTGTCCCGGATGACGGGACCAGCCAGTTGCTCTCCGCCCTCCATAAACCTACGATGAACAGTTAAAATATGAGCTAATCACAGCCTTCTCCATCCACACAACTCTGCACATGTTGCCCTGTTGTTCTCTGCTGATCGCCAGGCCGTGGGGTGGTTTTTCTTTTAGCGCTGTGATGCAGCCAATATGTACGCAGAGCTGTGCGGACTGGATGCAACGCTGATTAGGATCCCTGGCAAGGCGGGACAGCTCAATCGGTGGACTCCGAGCTGTCCTTACTATGTACATATGGTGGCACAGTGTGAAGGTTAGAGAGAGAGCGGAGGCAAGGCATACCGTTAGGCTTTTCGTTCATCCCTTGCACTGGCTGGTTGGTTATCCTTGCTTGGCAGATAGATTAGATATCAATTACTATAAAAGTAGTTAGATTGGTATGCACGGTACACAAGATGGCGCAGATACATCTAAGAATATTCTTAAGTGATATTCTATGTATTACTCATTGGTGTTAATAACTCAAGTACCTAGTCACCAAGTTCAAGATCCAACGATACTGCGAGAGAGATACTGCGATACACTTGATATATATATATATAATCCATTATCCATATTATCCTATCCCATTAATCCGTACAAACCGTGTAAGTCATAAGAAACGGCACAACTTCAAGCTGCCAAGTAAACATTAAGACCTTTAACAAAACAAATCTATCAAGCCTCAAAGTCCGTTCATCGTTCTCTCCGCTTTCAGGACGTCTCCCTCAGTGATAAAGTCAAGGAGAACCACGTTAGGCTTGCGATGGTAAATCGAGTTGCATAGGTCAACCTGGGCGCCGATACTGCCTTGGCCTACTGCAGCATTGGTCCTATCGGCTTTGAACCTATCAGGGAGGAATATTCCTAGAATATTAACGTTGAGGGTATGGTTAACTAGGTACATCCGTCCCTCAGGCGTGCCACCGGCTGGACGGTCAAGTGTACATTGAGGAAAGTTCTCGTCCGTGGTGCTGAAAGGTGTCTCGAAGTAGTATGAAAATTCGTCGAGAAGGTACGGAAATCTGTTGGTGTCGGCCTTGGAATCTGTCAGAAGAGCATTAGTAAATATTAATAAAAATCAAGGTTGAAAGGAAACGAGGTTTGCTTTCCCAGCCGTGATGTGCAACACCTACCAACGAAAACTATCAGTCGCTTTCCAGTCTTGATCAATTCGCGTAACGTTGGCCAATCACCGAGGGCAAGTTTGGACTTGGGCGCAAAGGTGTAATCCTTTATTCCGCCAACAGCATTGAAAGCGTCATCGAACTCTTTGATATCCAATCCATCGCCGTTTGTGATCAAGAGTGTGACCACTTCATCCGGATGGCCGTCTAGCCAGGCCTTGACCGTCTGCAGGTATGAGCTCACACTTCCAGCATCCTCGAGGAGACATGATGTATGGCACATGCTGAAGACACCATCATCGTTCTTGTGTGTCTGTCCCTGGAGAAAGCGGATACCAAAGTCTAGTTGCTGGCTCACGGAGATGTCTTGGTTGTGTTGGAGCAACGGGCCAACGAACGGAGAATTGTGAGCACCCACGAATGACAGTTCGGAGTATCGACGATCACAGTACTCTGGATGGCCATTGCATGATTGGTCCTGGGCTGTTGGAAGTGCGGAAACTTGAAGAGTGGCCGAAAGCAATGCGCCCAGCCAGAAAAAGCGTCTCAAAGTCGACATCGACATCTTTTGGTAATATGCGCCGTTACGCAGAGAAAAAGGTCCAGGAACGCTCAACGAGGCCAAAGAGACGACGGGTGTTTATATATACACACGATCAACTGTATGCTTGTGACTCTATCAAGCGGCTTTACAACCTTGTCCTTTCATCCGCGGGTACATCACATAGGCAAGACAGGCCGGCACTTCCACCTGACCACAGAGTCATCCGCCTTGATCGAGGCCCGTTCCGAGGAATAATTGATGAAAAAAGCTGCCATCTCGAGCTAAGGAAGCAAAACGCAGGTGGTGCATAGTAAACTGGCAGGGTCAACCAGGTGCACATACTATGTAGAGAATGCTTCTTCCCCTTGCAACAAATAAGAAGCTCCCATCGACGGGTACGGAGGGAGCGACAGCAGGGATCGCAACCCTTGTTCACCTTGCATTCCATCCAAGGTCACTCCGTCATTTGTCGGCCCCAAAAAAAAAGGACTTCCCTCCCAAAAACTCCTTCCTCCCCTGACCTGGGCACCCTCTCGCATCAGTTACATTAACTTCAAGTCCATGCTGCGGACACTCCGTAGATCAGCGCCGTGGAGGTGGCGAGCCCTTGTGCAACAGCGAGAGTGATCGATCATATAGTTAACCAAGCATCTTATATATTCCGTCGGCTTTTCTTTTTTTCTTCTCTTCCCTTGTGATGTTTGGATGGTTAAAAATAAATAGGGTGGAAGATGAAGTTATCGGCCTTCGGCACAACTTGCCCATTCAGGCAATATCAGCCTCATCTCTCTTTTGACTGCGTTCTTGTAAATATACAAACTCGCGTCGACGAGCGAGAGCAGCTGGGAAGAAGACAGTATATGAGACCGGACTTGTGGTTAGCGAGGTGTCTGTCGTCTGGTCTAGTTGAAAAGGGAGGGGAGTTTCTCCCGTTTCTTCGCGTATCATTGTCGCGGGTAGTAGATTTTGCTCCGTCGGTTAACTAAGCGTCTGATCCCTCTATTAAGGGGGCATCCGACGGATTCAGGAGCATCTCCCATGCAGCTGATATGAATCCAAAACGCGTTGATGTTGTGTGGGAAAACACATTCTCAACAGGCTCGGTTGCTGGTGCGAAACGATCACGGTCCGAAAACGACGCTCCGCCAGCGTTTACTACCGCCCATCAAGTTCTGAATGCACAGTCTAGAGTACAGCAAAATAACACTACGCAGTACTCCCATGATTCCAGACGTATACGGCCGAGTAGGATAGATTTGCTTTCTAACTCAAACAATCTTGCTTCCTCTAACTCTCAGAATCTATCGGAGCACTCCCAGAGAACCTCTATATCTAGTACCCCAGGCCCAGCCCAGAATCCTGTCCTTGCACTTAGTCACCCGAAATACGGCTTACCGACTGCCTTGGTAAAAAACTTTGCCTCTCTTGGTGTCAATGCCATCTATCCGTGGCAAGCATCATGCCTCCTGGGACGTGGACATCTCTCAGGAGAAAAGAACCTGGTCTATAGTGCTCCAACCGGGGGCGGTAAGTCGTTGGTTGCAGATGTATTAATGCTGAAACGCATCCTTAACTGCCCAGACAAGAAAGCTATCCTTGTCCTTCCCTATGTTGCGCTTGTCCAGGAAAAGCTGAAATGGCTTCGGCGTGTGGTTGAAGGGATCCCTAGATGCACACTCGATGATGATATTGCCAACTCAACCGATGACAGTTCTCGGTCTTCTCGTTTCAAGGCTGAGGTAAACTCCATTCGAGTTACAGGGTTTTTCGGCGGGAGTAAAGCCAGGACTACCTGGTCAGACACGGATATCGCTGTGTGTACCATTGAGAAGGTTGTCTCGTCTATCGCCAACCAACTGCGTCCCAAAAACTGGCTACTGACTTGTATCCATTAGGCTAACTCCCTGGTCAACACAGCAATTGAAGAATGCACAATCGATAAACTAGGTGTAATCGTCCTAGATGAACTGCATATGCTCGATGATGAACATCGTGGTTATCTGATAGAAATCATGGTAACGAAGCTCCTCTTGCTTCAACAAGATATTCAGATAATTGGTATGAGTGCAACATTGTCGGTATGCTTTACAATTCTACTTGTGATCCCTAGGAGCTGGAGCCTGTAGCTTATTATTTTGAGAACCATTTCAGAATACAGAGGTGCTCGCAAAATGGCTGAATGCAAACTATTATATCTCTCGATACCGGCCGATACCCGTTGAAGAATTCTTGGTGTTTGAGGATTATATATATCCAGTACCTACCACCAAGGGCCTTTTGAGGAAAATGATCAAGCCTAATATATCTAATTCAAAAGATGTCCCAGCTTCGGCTTGCAGAGTTATCCGTAAGTCGGAATTTAGAGAGCTAGCATTTCCGATTCCAAATGCTATGGTTGCCCTTGCATGTGAAACCGCCGCAGCAGGATATGGTGCACTTGTGTTTTGTGGAAGCCGACAGGCATGCCAGACAAATGCTGTGCTTATTGCGGATGCAATGCCAGATACTCTGGATGCCGAAATTATTGAGAAGCGGTTGGATTTAGTGGCAAGTTTGCAAAGCCTCCCTTGTGGACTTGACACATATTTTGCCAGAACTATACCCAGAGGTGTTGCTTTTCACCGTCAGTGCCCCCCTTCTCAACTTATTTCGTCAAGAATCCTGCATATATGTTAACCCGCAACATCCGTAGACGCTGGCTTGACGACCGAAGAACGCGTCCTAATTGCGGAAGGATTTGACGCTGGCATTCTAAAAGTACTCGTAGCTACTTGTAGCTTAGCTGCAGGGATAAATCTCCCCGCGAGAAGAGTTATTCTCTGTGGTGCAAGGATGGGACGAGATCTGGTTGGGCCTGCAATGCTGTGAGCATATATTAAATGTTGTCGTTTAGGAAACAAGGCTAACCTTTGAAGACGACAGATGCGCGGCCGCGCGGGCCGAAAAGGCAAGGATGAGGTAGGAGAAACCTACCTGTGCTGTACAAGTAAGGATTGGGAAGAGGTGGTTGGACTGTTGGAAGCCGAATTGCCCGCGATTGCAAGTGGATTGGCCCCTGGAAGAGCAGGGATCAAAAGGTACTACTCCCCTAACCACACAAGCTAAAGGAGGGTATTATTAACTAGTGATTAGAGCTCTGCTTGAAGCTATCGCCACCAAGTTGGTCTCTGGACGCGATGCCATTTATGACTATATCAGAAGTAGTCTACTGTTCCACGATGGCGAGGGGCAGGACACCCTTCTCGAAATGGTACAGTCAACCCTTCAGGAGCTTCTAGATTCGGAGCTCGTAAAGTCATCCAGCGATGAAACCTTTGAACCAACACAGCTCGGCCTAGCAATTGTTGCATCCGCATTCAGTCCCGACGATGGGCTTTTCATCTACGGCGAACTAAAGCGTGCTCTACAAGCTTTCGTGATGGACGGAGAAATGCATATATTCTATATGTTCGCCCCCCTTCAAACCTCTTCCGAGATTGACTGGATGACTTTCCGTGATGAGGTCCATGGCCTGGATGATAGTGGACTACGTACAATACGGCTTGTAGGTGTTGATCCAGGGTTGGTTAACTCTATTGCCATGGGCCATGCTTCTATCAAAGACCCAGCCTTGCTCAGAGTCTATAATCGCGTCTACACAGCCTTCCAGCTTCGTGACCTAAGCAATGAAATCCCAGTCTCGTCAATTGCCAAAAAATATAACACTGCTCGTGGTGCTGTACAGATGCTTGCTCAAAATTGCCACGGTTTTGCGGCTGGAATGGCCAAGTTTTGTCAACGGATGGGGTGGGATATGCTTGCAGTTGTGTTGGATCATATGCGTGATCGTCTTCAGGCAGGTGCTAGGGCGGATCTATTGGAAATGGCACAGGTAACCTATGTCAAGAGCCGGACAGCAAGGCTGCTATGGGAGAATGGGTTTAAGTCCTTGAGATCACTTGCTGAGGCCGCACCTAGTGAGCTAGTACCAGTGTTGATGATGGTGAGTTTCCCACTAACGGCTTAATACAGCCATCCCCTTATATATACTAATACTACAACATCAGGGCCAACCTCGGAATAGTTCATATTCAAACAATGCTAAAGACATGAAAAGGGTTACAGCAAAACTTACAGCAAAGGCAGAGGTAATCATTGCATCAGCAAGCAGACTATGGGGTAAGTTTTATGTTGTTAATATCTATCTCTCACCCTGGTAAAGACTTTTCAATGAATATTTATGCTAATTTGGCGGTAGAGCATCAATCAGTCGTAGAACTAGACGAATAACAAATTCTTTTGATATCATCAGGCTATGAGTAGTTCTTTAATAGCATAAATATATAGAGTTTGGGATATATATCCATACGATGATACATCGAGCATCAAACTAATTAAGACAGGTACGCCTATAATGGAATTGCAGCCGGACATTGCCAGAAAGTCCATGGTTATATCCAATACAGAATGTATCTAATTAGCTTCTCATCTCTGGTTACTATCACCGCCTATTCCAAACCTTCCACCCAACCCACTAAGATCTCGACGGAAAAACTTCCCTATGTTTTTGAGATTCTCATTCAAGTTTGCGGCTGCTGAAGAGCCCCCTTCGGTAGCATCCACATCCTGCCCGATCAAATTTAGGCTCTGATTTTGAAGTGGCGTTCCTGACCCAGATTGTGCTATAGAACCCGTTGCTGCACGACTGCTGCCTCCTGAAGCTCCGCCGGGTGTATTCCCAAGATTTCCTAGGCCAGGTGTTCCTAGTCTATCCACTCCATCACGAGCTGCGGATATTAGAGCAGATCCAAGCACTGATGGGTCAAAGCGTGCAGGTAACGCGTTAATTCCCGAAGAGGACGCTGTAGCTCCTCCTAGATTAGCCAAGCTTAGTCCCTGTGTCATAGAGGGGGCGGCTGGGGTAGTGGGAGTTGGCGGCTGTAAGTAGGAAATTAAAGGATTGCTCTCCTGTAAGCTGGGAGCATGGCGATTGTACATCTTATGAGCTTGGAACAGCTCGACGAGGCGATTCTGTTCCTGCTTGCTCCTTATTCCCTTTATATCGAGTATTTTTCTGAAGTTACTGTCATTCTTATCAGCAATATGGATCAGATATGCCTGCACAAGCGCCTCGGGTGGGACAGCCCGGACTTGAAGTGTTTTAAGAAGGGTATCGATTTTTTGGAAGCTTTGGTGAACACGTTTTGTAAATGCAGCAGGCGCTGGCGAGAGAAGACCTGTCAGCCCCGATTTTATACCATAGCTATCAAGAAGCATCTATATAAATGTTAGAGAGTGCTAAATAAATACTAAAGTTTCAGTAAAAGTGCTAGAAGATTATCCATACCTGCTCTGCACCAGCTTCCGAGACTGGCTTGCACTGGTATATATTCGAGATGTAACTTGTGGACGTATGTTCGACTAGGTTATCGACAAAAGCCCGCTGATACTGCTGCTTATGAAGCATTTCTAAAGTCTCATCTGATCTCGACTTTAAATTCGACAATAGAACTTCAACGTAAGGGCTTTGATCTCCAACACCATCTTGTGCACTCCAAGATGTATTCCGCATTTCTCTCCAGGCTGGCTCCAATTCGATATCGACTTTCCGAACGAGGAGGCGAACAATTGCGCTAGCTATTCCCATAAATGAATCTGCCTGACTCTGGAGATCCACTTGTTGTTTAAATGGTTCATCTATTTTGCTCTTTATTTTTTCTTCAAGCTGATTGCAGGTGGTATAGCAATAATCGGCGGTGTTGAGGACCATGGTAAGATCCTCATATGATGGCAACTTGGAGGAAACCTGACTTCCAGGGCGGTCGCTGATATAATGTAGCAACACTTGCTGGGCATATTGGTCAAGGTATTTGCCAAATACCTTCGTCAGCTCTGCAAGAGAGTTGCCGGTAGAGAGTTTAGCACACTGCGCGAGGGATAGCCGGTAGAAAGTAAAAAGTTCTGTTGAAGAGTGTATAACAAGTTGTGGAGAATATTCTTCATCCTTGGGTTTGACAGGCTGCTCTCTATATTTCCGGATGAGAGCGTCAAGCTGTTTGCCTTGGGCAGATACCCATAAGCTCAGGTAAGGTTCAAAGGCCTCGGAAATGGTCTGCGAGAAAATGGGAGATTCGCTAGATGTAAAGGTATCCGTGGATGCACGAGAAGCATTGGTGAAGCGCCTATCAAGGAAGTGTTCGAAATCAAGGGATTCCTGGAGACATGACAGTATAAGGTTGACGTCCATAGTCTGTCCACTGCGTACAGATCTGGATAGTATCCCTTTAAAATCATCCCTTGTACCTTCACAGAAGATGTTTGCCAAAACTTCGTTGACTTTCCAAGAGGCTGGGAAAATCATCATATGCTCCTCGTCATAGGTCTTTAACATTCTTTTAAACCAGGAATATCTCCTAGAGATATTGTCGAGAGATCCGGCCTCTTCGTTCCCTCTGAAGACTTGGCGATATTCTCTTAGCTGTGTGTTGCAGTACCAGGTTATGAGCCTTGATTTGGCCATATCTCCTAAAGCTTCCATAACCAGACAGCCCTCAGCCAGGATGTTTCTCTTCTGCGTGGTTTCTCCTTTGGCAAATATTATCTCGAAATCCTCGCAGACCTGTTCCAACAGCTCACGTTGTATATCGGCTACGTTGCGGCTCAGCGAGGCAATCTGATCGATCGAACGGTATGACTTAAAATGCGCCATCAATTGTATAACGGCTTGGAGCAGCTGCGCGCAATCCCGATATTGCCTTGACTTGCTGAGCGCCTTCAGCTGCTCATACGCAGTAGTAAGCATCTGAAGTCTCTTCAGCGTCGTCATGGACAGCGTCAAATTACCCTTTGCATTATCTAACTGCTTAATATCTGCTGTCATCGCCGTAATTGCCTGTTCAGTTTTCAACGCTCGTTCCCGGACTTCCTCGATCTTTTTGAACAGCTCAACCATATCCTCTTTTGCGTTGCGGATACGCTCAACGCTTTCCAGGTTGGAGGCTGCCTGCGCTTCCACAAGTGTAGTAATATCGTCGTTAAGTTCATCTTGGTATGTCTGGAGGACTTGGGAGGTCTTCGGTAAGGAGACGAGTGTGGAAGGGTGGGAGAAGATAGCGTTCAGATGTTCAATCGGGTTATAGTCAGCTATTATAGGTTAGAATACTGTTAAGCATCAGACAGAAGGCCTTGATACTTGCCTCCATCCAGCAGGTCGGTCTCTGGGTCCCCGTTCGTTGGCATAGGTGTGGTTGATGGATAGTTAAACTCGTTGAATATCGGAGGTATTTAATCGCATCTGGGTGGCCTTTTTACCAGGAGAGGCGCAGCAGCTATATATGACGGTTTCATCAAGTGGCATTAAAAAGATGTATTCAAAAGGTGAGGCTCGAATACAAGTCGTCAGAAAATATTTCTTAAATATTGAATCGGCTGTTCATGAGGCTAGAAATCCGTCGCTTGTTTTGACGATGGTTGGAGCTTTCAACGAGCTTGGCTTCGGAATTAATATCTGGTGGAAACAACTCAACCAGTTAGCTAGCCAACCTACATGGTGCGAACTATCAAATCTTTTTAAAAGCGGTATAGATATTTTGGCTACAAGAGAATTGTTTTAGGTATAAGATTTATTCCTTTTCCAACCTGGACGGATATTTCTAGCTAAAGTACACTTCATTACATAGTAAAAAAGACCCCCTATTCCGCAATGCAAACGATAAAATTAATCAAGAAAACTCCTCGTAATCTGAGGACGGCGATAAAAATATAACCTGCTTAAGAGCTAGAAGCGAGGCAAAGCAATATTTCCTGTTTTGTTATATAAGTAATCCCAGAGTTGATTCTCTATGGAAGCATGGATGAAGATTGCTGGAGGTGAAGAGAAGGGGGAGGCAGAAGTATAAGGTATTTGAATGTTATTATAAGGCGTGTAAAGTACTGGTGGGTGTTTTCTTTCCAAGGCTTGTGAAATGAAAGCAATCATGCCCCCGGTAAAAATGCATTAGAAGGTAGGTTTCCTTGCGCCTAAATGTGATATTCTGTTAGTATTTTTATATTCACGAACTTTAAAGAGTAAAATAATTCGTAAACTCAGGTTTTACTAACCTTTAATTCTTCAAAATTCTTTAACGCGAGATTCAAATCCCAGCTGTTGCCGCTAAGAGCCATTTCCGAGAATGCTAAAGTCATCTTTGTCTTGAAGCTTATTTCAAGCACCAGTTGCTCCTGTTTAACCTGCTCCTCCGATTTCCCTGGCTGGGGTATTCCATATCCTGGTTTTGCTTCTGGATGTTGGGCCGCTAGCTGCGGGATAGGTGTCGGTTGTTGGGTCGGCAGGATCGTAGTAGGCTGAGCTGGTGTGGCTGTCATCGCTGGAGCGGAAACCTGTTCGTTTTCTGGAACCCACGCCGTACAGTCTCCAAATACTCGAAGACAGAGCATATCGTTACTGACCCTAAGACCCCCTACGCCATTTCCGGGTCCAAGGACGAATGTTCGATCGAAACTGCGTGTCTGAGTCTTGGCTCCGGTATCAGGATATATCTCTTCAAATTTTCCATGAACGGTAATCAAAAGGCCACCAACACCAGTCGCACTTTGGTTATTGATATCAGGAAGCCCAGGGATGGGGTGGCATTCTATCAGCCATTCCTTGGGGTTGGAAAGAATTTCCGGATGCTTCGTTTGTGGAAATGAATTCCATACCTCACGAATGTTTTCAGCACCAATGAAACTTCGTGATACGCGAGCAGGAAGATGACTGATTTTTATAAGATTTCTGCTCCTTCGGATGTACGAGTCCCATGGGGGTGTTGATTCTGTTTGGGCCGCTCGTGGAGCTACGGAGTTGACATTATACGAAAATATTGATTTTGCATCATAAATTCCGTTAAGTAGATCGTTTCGGTTGTTGTCAAAGCCAGAAAAGAAAGCCTTGACGAAATTTTCTGCAATCTGGCTCTCATCCTGAAAACTCGGGCCCATAACGGGGATGGGGGTTTTCTTTTGAGCGGCAATTTCTTCCGTTGTTCTGACGCCAGTATTGTTTAATGTCCGAAGCTGAGGATACCATTTTATCATTGTTTCCTTGAAATTTGGCTCAGAGCATACTGGGTTTCCCGTAAGGTCCAAAAAGTCGAGACTGCGAAATTTCCACCTCCAGCTGCTTAAGCTTGAGATATCTTTGAACTGATTGTGGGATAAATCAAGGTTTTTGATTTCGGGGAACGTCTGGGCGAGGGAGGTGACGGCAGTGAGATTTGTTAATTGATTATGCGCTAAGGTGACGCTAACGACTGCAGCCTTTCTTTTAGAAGCAGAGTCAAAGGTAAGCTCGCACACTTTCATCAGAGCCGGGAAGAATTTTGATTCCGTGGACACGCTGTTGAACATGCCCATCTCCACTAGATCCGGGTCTGTGCCTAGTTTTGATAGATCAAGCAGCTTTCCTGGTTCCGAGTATCGCTTTGCCAGAAAAGAAGTCATCTTAGCCTTCGTATCGATGGCAGCTTGAGATGGTCCTTGGTTTTGTCGTGAGGAAGTGTCCGCTATCGTTATACCGTCGTGCAGCTCAACCGAAATTGGGGCCCCGGCAAAGGAATATCCATTTAATCGCAAAAATCCATCCACCTGCTCGGGTCGAACAGATATTATCATACTGTCGCCTTCAACCCGCGACTACTATATGTTAGCAAGGCATAATTAACCTTGGAAACCGATCCTCTTTGCAGTAACTCGACAACATTTGCGGAATGTCTGGACGGTCTTGAAAGAAAGCAGTATCGCTCTGGCTGAGTCTAAGGGAATATAGACAACGCAGGAGAGTAGTGCTGCAGAGTGTGTCGATAACCGCAAAAACGTAAACGTGATATAGCACATACCTTTGTAATCTTGTGTCGTCCAGGGGCCGTAGCATTCTGGTCGGTGGGGGCTGACTTCTTCTCCAAGAACGCAACAAGACTGACAACGCCACCATCTGGGTTCGAAGCCGCTTTGCTCGCTTTCCACCCAGTCACTCTGATCTGTGTCAAGTTCCGCCTCAAGGGCCCATCTAGAATCCCACGCCCGTGCCTGATATTGGCCTGGGAGGAAGAACTGTTGAATATGGCCTTCTGGAGCGCATCGATCGTCTTCTCCTTCTCGCCTGGTCTCCTCGACGATCGCCCGGTAGCACCTCCGCGAGAAGTTCGTACCCGGCCTCTCCCAACACCAGCTCCAGAGGCAGCCATGTCCATATCTCCATCTCGGTCGACCCGAGGGGTGACGCTTCGTTTTCGAATGCCACCACGGTCCGTCGCACCAGCCCTGCCTCGCGTGCCTCTGCCGCGGTTGCTAGAGCTGTTCATCCTTCCGCCTGAAATTTGAAGCATGGTAGACGAATGCGTTTGCTAAGGGAGTATGGTGCGAGAGGCCGCTTCTAGCTTGCTGGACAGTGAGCGGGACAGACAAGATAAGGTCTGCCGCCCGCTGTTTTCAACTTTGTCGAGGCGGCATGCAGAAGCCGGAGTCTTGGATGAACTTAAGTATATACCAGCAGTTATAATACTCTGACTATCTTCTACTCTGTGCCGTCAGGAGTTCGTAAAAAGAGGCGTCTTCGGTGGAATATAAAGGTGAAGTTGTGAGATTTCTGTTGAAGTTGCTTTTGAAGAAATAAAAAAACGCTTCGAGTTCAAAAAAGAAAAGTCCAGTGACTTCTTAATTGGGGATAGTGCGGCTCTAGATCAAATCGTCGATTATATAATCAAGGGAATAGATGTTATTATTTACTGTGTACAAAGACTTTTTCATTTCGGCGATGGAGATAAGATACAAAGATATACGTATAGATAGACATTATCGACATACAAAGAAGTAGTTTTAGGCCATATGTATTTGATCTAAAAGAATATCTGACTGCTAATGAGATAAAGGTCTGTTGTACATACGTATTCTAGTAAAAAGACCTCCCGTCATCTTCCAAAATAGTAATCCAAAACCACCAGGAGAGAATTAAACCAGAGAATGATAGATCTAAGATTGAATAAAAGTATCAAAATCTTGCGTTCAAATTCTTCTTTTCAGCCTCAAGAAAGATCATATTACATAACCATAATTACCTAAGCATGGATTTAAGCTTCTCTTTTGATCTAGATGTTACCACGTGACTTTATTAATCAGCTAAATTCCGGGCCAATAAGAGCAAACCTTCAAGGTGTCCTTTCCCGCTGAGCTTTTTTGGTGATGACGGGCGGGTTTTTCTTCTCTATTTGCGAGAAGAGTCGCTTGTCTGCTTAAGAATATATATCCACCCTTATACGGCTTCCCCGCTTGTTGAGAGCCTCATTTTGCCCTCTCTCCCTCTTTCTCTCTCTGTGGGATTGGTGATGGGCACTGCGGCAACTGCTATTCGAGCTTCACGTTAATTTATATATCCGCCAGCATATCAATCAAACAGTGAATCACAGCCGTATACTGGTTAAAGAGGAGAGTCAAAAACCACCATATCCTCTATCCTCATCTTACTAGACCAATTGGTCAATATCTAACAGCAACGCCCATTATGGCGGGTAAATCTCGATTCACAAGACTTGACGCTTTCGCCAAAACCGTTGAGGATGCGCGGATACGAACAAGGTCTGGTGGAGTCGTCACCATTGCCGCATTACTCATTGTTATATATTTGGTCTGGGGGGAATGGAAAGACTATCGACGAGTCGTCATCCAGCCTGAGCTGATTGTTGATAAAGGCAGAGGTAATGTCTCGTATATCGATCTCCTTCTGAGAAAGAAGAAAGCTGACACATTTCTTCTAGGCGAGAGAATGGAAATCCACCTTAACATGACCTTCCCAAACCTTCCCTGTGAACTCCTCACCCTGGATGTTATGGATGTATCTGGTGAACTACAGACAGATGTTGATCATGGTGTCAACAAGGTCCGCCTTAGCTCTGCGGCAGAAGGCGGAAAAGTCATTGATGTGACGGCATTGGATCTGTAAGTTTCTTGAAATTTGTGGATCTCTGCTTAATCCTACATCCTACAGACGTCTACTAACTAATATATTCATAGTCACAAGAAAGATGACTCCCCTGCGCATCTCGACCCAAACTACTGTGGAAACTGTTATGGCGTTCCTGCACCGTCTACCGCAAAGAAACCTGGGTGCTGCAACACTTGCGCTGAAGTTCGTGACGCCTACGCGGAGAAAAATTGGGCCTTTGGTCGCGGCGAGGGTGTCACCCAATGTATGGATGAGGGCTACTCCCAGCGCATTGATGAACAACGGCATGAAGGATGCCGCATCGAAGGTATTCTTCGTGTCAACAAGGTGGCTGGGAATTTCCATATTGCTCCTGGCCGCAGTTTGACGGCCGGAAACTTCCACGCTCATGATCTAGATAACTACTACCATACCCCCGTTCCACACACAATGACGCATATTATCCACAAGCTCCGATTTGGCCCCCAGCTTCCAGAGGAGCTATATAGCAGATGGAAATGGACGCATCAAGATACCATCAATCCGCTGGACAAGTCTGAGCACAGAACTGATGAAGTGCGATACAATTTCCTATACTTTGTCAAGGTAGTATCAACTTCGTACCTGCCTCTTGGGTGGGATGCCACATGGTCAAGCGAGGTGCATTCTCAGGCCCACAAGGATATCCCGCTCGGTAACCATGGTGTCTACTTCGGCTCCCAAGGAAGTATTGAAACACATCAGTACTCCGTCACTTCTCACAAACGATCGCTCGACGGAGGAGACGATTCAGCCGAGGGCCACAAGGAACGCCAATATGCTCGCGGCGGCATCCCTTCTGTCATGTTCAATTATGAAATATCCCCCATGAAAGTGATCAATCGCGAAACTAGGCCAAAATCTCTCTCAACATTTTTCACCGGAGTCTGTGCTGTCATCGGCGGAACATTAACAGTTGCGGCTGCTGTAGACCGATTGCTCTACGAGGGAAGTCTGAGGGTGAAGAAGTTGCACAAGAGTTGATTTATATAATACTTCTTACCAATTGTGTTATACTATAGCCCATTCTTCGGTTGCTTCTGTTGTCTTTCTTCTTTTGTTTTTCTCAGGGAAATGTGATCGATATTGGCGTTCTATGTATTGATAAATATGATTAAAAAGGGATACATCTGAGCGACATTGGCCTGGTGTGACATTGTGTATTATAACGCAGTAGTCACAGATTTCCGTTAATAATATGGGTTACACCGAGGGTCTTATATATATATTACCATACTGCCATTCCTACTCTTGCACTTATGGCAAAGGAGTCGCTTTTTCAGCATACTTTTTGTAGTAGAAAGCCCGCTCCATCATAAATTTAACAGCAGAAGGTTCAGTCAAAAAGGGAAAAAATAGCATTTGAATCGAATCAGGGTCCAAAAGTGCAATCTATGTCTATTATTAAACAAATTCCTTGCTTTGGTGAAAAGCTTGCCTCCGACTCCATCACTCCACACTCTAATTTGGCAAACAATCTATTGATAGGTTCCAGTTCATGTTTCTAGACTAATGCAGTGTAGTGTTATGGTGTCGCATAATGTGGCATAGGGCAGTGGGTGCTATTATACTGATGCATACATGGCTTTGGGGATAAATAATGAGGATTTTTGGTGGGAAACACACAATAAACAAGGGAAAGGATCATATCAAACTCCTAATGCACAATGTGAAAGAAACAATATGCCCAAACAGATCATCATTGATATGGGTCTGACAACTGAGATCTAAAAGTAGTAGAAAGCAGACAAAAAAAAACAAAATGCCTCGAAGAAAGTTGACGATGAGTACTTGAAAAGCGAATATGGTGGTTGACAAGGAAATATAAGGATGCAGATGCGGTTAGAAAGGAGAAGGGACAAGGACTGAGTAGACAGAAAATGGAAACAGTTAGAAATGGAGTCAAGTTGTCATGGTCGTTATAAGAAAATAAACAAGTCAAGAGTAAGAAACATAAAAAATGTTGGCAAGAGCAGGTATGGTTATTTGGCTGGGATGATGCAATAAAAAATACAGAAGGAAATGCAGTTCATAAGCTCGGTGCAGTTCAGCATCTATGCATGATACTGAGGTTGCCATTGTTGCCCCTGACTATGTGCATAATAGTTAGGTTGTTGTGGTTGTTGCTGCTGAGAAGAGAAATATGGGTACTGCATAGATGGAGCATACCCAGGAGGCGTACCCATGGGTTGCTGAAGTTGGAACTGAGCCTGGGCCTGGGCCTGGGCTTGAGCTTGTGCTTGAGCTTGTGCTTGTATTTGAGCTTGTGCTTGTGCTTGTGCTTGAGCTTGAGCTTGAGCTTGAGCCTGATACTGTCTCTGAGCAATAGCCTGCTGCACAGCTTGGCCACTGAAACCATCCTTCATAGCCTTTCTCTCACGTTCACGCGCATCAATAGCACTGACAAGCCCAGACCCAAACTGTGGGCCGAGGTTATTGTTCAAATTAAAGAACGAGGAGCCAGTCACTCGAGCCACATGCTCTTGTTCACGAGCAGAGAGGTGGCCAGAGACATCCGGTTGAGATAGTATGCGAGTTGCGCTCCGCGAGGAAGGGCGGGGAGGAACGTCGTAAGGCCCAAGGATAACACTGGGACCACGAGATGATGGCCGAGGAGGGACGTCAAGTATGGTATTTGCTCCACGGGATGAAGGACGGGCCGGGATATCTAGCATGACGCTTGGGCCCCGCGAATGTGGGCGTTGAGGGAGATGAGTTGCAGATGACTGATGGCGAATATAAGCAGACCAATCTCCTGACGCTGGGCGGGGGGGAGGTGTAGATCGAGTCGACTGCACAGGGAGATGGATTTGTGACCTGGACGCGCGGTTGTGGACGAATTGTTCTGGAGAAATACTCGCAGGGCCTGGGGTAACAGGGCCGCTGTCAGGGACCATACCTGGTTGCCAGAGGACACTGCGGCGCCGTCCACGTTCCTGTGTGGGGGGTGGAGATGGGGATTGGTTCGATTCCTGGTTAAGATGCTCGAGTAAACGACCAGTGGAGAGCCTTCTCCCTCTTGTGCCGAGAGTACCTTCAGATGGGTTACGTTGATGAGAAGAGGACAGAAGTAGCATGGTATCGGATGTGCTGGGCCGTCTTGTGGTAGGCTTATAGGTGTGAGTAGGTCCAAAATCGACTTCTGGGATATCTGGGTTCACCTCAGCAGGTGCAACGGATGGATTCTTGTAACGTGCATCACCAATAACAAGGTCATCCGTCTTTGGCGTCGCATCGCCGACGACTTTCATCTTTCCCATTCTTGGTTTCTGAATGGATTTTACTGACTTGACAGAGGCAGATGATTTATGTGAGCTTGCATATGATGGAGCTACAACAGAGCACGCATCGTCTTGGACAACAATCTCTCGTTGGAATGTGTACTTCTGCTGAGGCGGTGGAGGGGGGGAAGGAGATCGCGGTCGCCTTATGATTCTGTCTAGAGCATCCATATCAATGTTATCACGCAGGCTTCCCAATGTAGACTCTGTCTTCACACTCGCTGTCTCAGAGACAGGGATTTCGGCTGCCACAGGCTTTCGGGGAATTGGCTTTTGTAACTGTGGCTTCTGGGCTTCATCTTGCTGCTTTATTGGGGAGTACCCTCCAGTAGAGGTAGATATATATGGCGCGTTGACGTCGATATTGCTCGCGGTATCACTAGGAGTAACAGGACTCCCCTGAGAATAATTCGAACTGCATGCACTCGTACTATTCAAGCGATTAAGGGCTGCACCCCTAGGAGCGATTTGTCCCAGTCTATTGTCGGCCTCTTTTTTGCTCTCATTGGCACCATTCCAAGCAGCCGTAGCACCAGCCACGGCAAGTCCATGTACGTTTCCGCTCTTCTTATTCATATCTACCAACTGATCCATTGTTCCAACCGACATACGCTTCGCTGCATGACCAATCTCTGGGGACGGTTGGGGTTTAAATTGCGGTGTTCCCCTTGGATCGTGCGAGAAGGCGGGTGAAATAGGCACAGCCAATGGGGGCGGGCTGGGTTGCAAGCTCTCAATGATTTCTAGTCGGTCAACAGGGCCATTATTGTCCATGAAGGCACCGCTATCAGGGGAACTGCGACTATCAGTTCCGCCCACTTCGAAAGGTCCATCTGTCTGAGGGATTCCTTCGCCATGGGGGAGTTCCGCAGGTGGGTGTTCCGGAATGTCTTCACCAATGCTGTTTTCGAAAAATGGCGGGCTGCGACGGCCACGACGAGCTGAGGGGAGACCTGTATTATCGGACTCAGAGCGAGTGTGGGATACGCCGGACTTGGCCGGTGAACTAGACACCGTGTCAGATGAACTGCTTGGCTCACCATTCCTTGACCCAACTGTTGCGTTACCAAAGCGCACGGTGCCACTGCGCTGAGGTAGACTACTGCGTTTCCCGCTACGACGGCCTGAGATACTGCTCGTCCTACTACCGGCGTTTGAGGTCATACGGCGCGACGTGGCGTCCTTGAGCTGCTTCTTCCACTCTCTAGCGCTCCAGTTCTCACTTCCCTGTGTATGGATCAGAGCGGACACATCAAGGATATCGAGATATCCCTTACGCCTATTGCTGGGCATAGCAAACATCAAACTATTGGGGCTAACGGTGTCAGCCAAAAGACGAGTAGGGCGACCATAGATACGAAAAGCATCATAGACAGGGAATAGCCAACGAATCATGGTTTCAAAACCAGAGACGGCATGGTGCATTTCAGGGAGGACGAAGACAAAGCCTTCGGACGTTGTGTCGCCGATGGTAACTAGACCTTCGACCTTTACGAGAGTAGACTGATCAACGAGTGGTCGGGACTGTGGGTATATAGCATACGCAGAATAAGCATCGGAAATAGTAGCAATAGGAGCTACTTTCTTGCTAGTCTTCCTTGTCTCGTAAAACTTGATGTTCCCCTTGGGTGGCGTTGGTGCTCGATCATAGGGAGATTTCTTCTTCAGAGAGCGGTTGTACAGCTGCATCTCTTTTTCTCCTGGAGGGGAGATGACGCACCAGCACCTTCTCCAGGGAGTGCCCGCGCCAAATCGAACTCTAGCCCAGTCCTCGTACTTGAATGTTGTCTTCTCGAGGATAAGTTTGATCCCGTTTAGATGCTTCCCTTTACCAGCAATAAGGGCACCGGTATAACATTCATGGAGGAGCGAATTCTCAAACACCGTCAGGCGTATTGCTGCCGTCCACTGGGTGAGAGAATGTAGGGAGTCGAAATGGAGTAGATATCTGTTCTTGCCGGCTGTGCTGATGCTGACGACGTTCTGGAGGGGCTGGTTTGTTTCATTTTTGGTGGGAAGCGTTTCCATCTAAACGGCTGTTAGATGGTCATCTCTAGTGGTTAATGGAAGAGAAAAAACTCAATGTACCATTTTGATAGTAGCATCAGCTAAATTGATGAAGCTGGGGGGTGCATTTGCCTGCCCTCCGGCTGTATCTAGTGCAGATGCATTCCATATTGAGAGCACTGTTCCAACCAGTTGTCCAAAACACTCAACCCACTGTCTATCGGTACATGGTCGTCCTTCTACAGAGGCGAGTTAGAGGATTATCTCGTTGCATGTGAAGGGGAAAAGAAAGGAAACTTACGAGTATCCAAATCATTAAGTTTTAAGAAGTATCCTTCCTGGTACAGCTTATTGGCCTGGTTATTCAGGTAGGTGAAGACAGGCTCAAGCTCTGGGATGGGGAGTGGCTCTGCATCAAGAGTAGGGGGAGCAGGAGCTGTCTGGTTCTGAGTCTGGTCCTCATTCTCACTCTGCACTGACTTCTGAGCCCACAGTGAGGCTATAGGCCTACTCAGCCTACGCGTGCGCCTAATGAATGGCAGGGTTGAGTTTTGTTGCTGTTGTTCCGGAGCAGTCTCTGGGGCCCCAGACGCCTTGTTTGACTGTAACTGTGTTATAGAACCAGGAAGATCTGAGGTAGAAAATGACCCTGGCGATGTCGTTTGTTTATTCCTAGGGCCATCTGGCCGGGAGGAAAGAAAGGAGAGAACTTATGATGTCGTTAGAATTGCATTTTTTCGTGGTTGAGTGCAACGATAAACTAACCTCTTATGCGCCCCATATTCAGCAATTGAAAGCCAGAAGCTGTCTATGTGTCTTCTGAGTGGGTGAAAGAGCTAGTTCTAGCTAAAAGGAGAGCTGTGAGAGAGTATCTAGGAGATTCTTTCACCAGCCATGTGTTGGCGGCTAGACGGACTTGTCAAGTGGAAGCGCCGGAAGAGCCAGGAAGAGAGATCCCACGGTTTGCGACGAGGGCGGGCGGCGGAAGAGCAGTGAGAAGGGGATAGGAAGGGAGGGCGAGACGAAAGAAGATGGCGAAGCTGGGGGAACCGGATGTGTGTCGTTTACAGGAGAATGTGATCCATGGCGTGAGTTGACAGCAAGCAGCCAGGTGATGGCAATGAAACTAGCTGGAGCTTAAGTAAATAAGGTGGCAGTGAGTTTGTCTAGCGTCTGCCGTGTCAGAGTGATCAGGATATCGAGTTGAAGATGAAGATGAAGATGCTGAAGGAGTGAAGGAGAGAAGCTGATGGAGTGAGAGGAATACGGGGAGAGGAAGCGGCAGAAAAGAAAGTCCAGGCGCTTCCGCCCTCAACCTCGTCCACACCCGCTAAGACTAACTGCCCTTACTACGCATGTACTCACCTTACGATACAAGCATATACACACACACTAATGACTATTAATACCAGTTTGCATCTGTATGCTCCATACGTATGGCCGTCTTCATAAAAAGGACAAAAAGAACAAGGTACGACCTAGTTGAACGCCTGCCGCTGACGATATACATAGTATGATCCCTCGCGCCTGTTCCGCCTCCTCCACTGCCAGCCACCTTGAAATCATATCCGCAAGTCCTTACATAGTAAACTTCTTACTCCCTCTCTATCTTTCTCTTCTCTCTCTTTGATCCCAAGACGCTAACTGGCAAAAGCAAAAAAGAAAGAAAATCACCAAGGGAGATGATTTATTCGAGCAAAAAAGGACGAGCAGAAACCATGTCTCAGACCGCAAACACCGGCCCGGACAAGTCGTACAGTTTGCAGTCAGACAAGGAAAAGAAAAAACGATGAAAATGCCTAAAGACGGATAGAACCATCGCCGCAGCACCAGCACCCAAGAGTTCATGGCGTGTCTGTATGTTCCCTGTACTGTATCAACCGTATCGACTTGGGTTCAAGGTATGTTTGTAACCTTGCGGGAGAGTGTGGAAAGACAGCCACCCTATCCACTTTATAAATGTTAAGTTATTTAGCTGGTCCGCCCCCAGCCTTTGGTTGAAACATCTGGCCCTCCATTCTGCATTGTGCCCATAAATAACCATGGTGGAAAGTGCGCATTTCCCCATGGCAATCTCGGACCTGGTGACGCGTTCAGCCGGAGTGACAAGCTGATAGTTCTGTTCTCTCGCCCAGCCCGCTAGCTCCAGGTAGATACATCGCGCGACCAATTGCTAGGCTAGCTTATCCTAGCAGATCCGAGGCATCCATGTCCATACCAGATCAAGGTCATACCCATACAGCGACAAGCCCAACGTTGTGCTATATGGGGATGGCATTGGTTAAACAGCGTTATACCAGCGTATGCATGTGCAACAAACAGTCGATGCAATCGCGTGGGCTTTCTTTTGTACAAGTTTGCCCAAAAGCCAGGTGCGATACGTCTGACCTACTATGTATGGTCCATGTTCTTCCTCAGCCTCCCATTCTTCCCGCGGTCTAAAGGAATGGGAGAAAAGGAAAGGTCGAAACAAAGCCGAAACGTCGGTGAAGAATCATATCCAGACACCTCGACAAAGGAAAGGCGGGAAGAGCTATGATCTTTACCCATTCTTCATTATTACGTACTCTGTAGGTATTCTGTTGTGGTTGCTTGACGTCGATCGTTGTGGCAGAGGTACCAGCAAGCTGGAAGAAGAAACGACAGGGATCGACAGCCAAAACAGTCAATGAATCCAGTTAAACAGGCGAGGGTAATGCAAGAAAGCAAGAAAGAAAGCAAACAATCGATCGGCTGCGTGCATCGTGGCAACGGCACATACTATGTATACAGGTGACAGACCGATACGATAGAAGGCTGATGAGCTGATAGTAGCCTTTCTTTCTTTAATATGTATAGTTATTTGTTCATTTCTCATTATCATCATCAATTCCCTTATCAGCCGGGTAAACTGAACTGACATGCAAGTATTAATCATTACATGGTTCAACTAGATTGAACCCAGAAATATGGGATCCGTTACTCTATTAGACCCAAGATATCAGGACTCTAGGGAAGTATACGTCAGAAGCGGGTCAACAAGGTCGCCCAACCCGCCTAGACGATCGTCCCTCTCTCGTTCCTGGCCCTCATCGTGGCTTGCCATGATCTCATCGACGCTAGCGTCGGGTTGAGGATATGCATACATGCCCTCTGGGTCGATAAGCCCGCTGCCACCGCCGCTGCCACCGCCGCTGACTTCATCGCCACGCATCATGTCCATCTCATATTCAAATGAAAGTCGGGCAAAACTGTCATTCCCACCCTGCATAGCTCGCTGCATGAAGAGAATCTGTATCTCATTTTCATCCATACAATGTTTCGCACCCATATGTAGCCAGAGATCGTAGTCACGATAGAACCTATGTTCACACTCCGCCAGTAGACACGGTATCTGGCGGTTAACAGACTCTTCCGCGTATCCCTGACCAGTGAGCAGAGCAACGTTTGATGGGCCCATGTGTGTCAATCCAGATTCTAAGTTGGCCGCAGAACGGCTGCCGGCTCTTGCCTTCCTTTCAGCCCTAGCATTGCGAAATCCCATATGGGCGGTTCTCACATGCTCTTCCAGAGCGAGTTTACTCCCATACCGCTTCCCGCAGGCATCTGTTCCATTCCATCCACTAACCTTCTTGGACGTAGAAAGATCCGTCTCGCCACATGCAAAGCGCTTCTCGCCTTCGTGCACTGTCTTAACATGGACGTTGAGATTGCCTTTTTTCGTAAAGCTACGTCCGCACCCTGGATGCTGACAGGGATACGCTCGACGATCATCCACAGAGACAGTCCCGTGCGATATCTCTATGTGTCGACGTAGATCCTTAGCCGATGAGCAAATATGAGCACAGGTCGGACAGGTTGGAGGATGCACAGAACGCATATGAGACTGTAGCAAAGCATAGGTTGCAAAGTTGAATGCATTTCCATCTCTCTCTTTCCCTTCGCCTTCGTTGTTGCCAATGCATTCCGTACAGGTAAATCGAGCCTCCCCATGAACTCTCCGTTCGTGGGCCTTCAGATGGCCTGCGGTATCAAACGCAGCGGTACAGGTCTTCCCTGATTCCAGTATAGCTTGACATGGAAACGGCCGTTTCTTTAAATGGACAGTCATGACATGTTTCAACAGCGTTGAATGCTTCCGGAATGTCTCTTTACATTGTTTCCCCCCTTCTTCGTTGAGTTCTGTGCATGTATATTTATCACGTCCTTCATGGGCAGCAATATGTCTCCGGAGCCTTGAACCCGTGGCAAATGCCTTTCCGCACCCTTCCCGCTCACAAACATAATCTCGTATAAGGGTATGTGCACTCTTAACGTGGTGATTGAGATGGGAGACCCGTAGAAAGTTCTTCTCACACCCCTCGTAGGTGCAGACGAATATGCGATCATTCGTGTGTGAGCGTAGGTGCTCGGTAAGGCGTGCCGGACGATTGAAAGCCTTGTTACAGTTGGTATAGGGACAGAGGTGTTTCTTGAGCTCCGACGGATACTTGGAAGACGCGGGTGAAAAAGGTGTTAACGGTGTTGGATGGAGTTCCTGGTCGGAGTGTGCATCTTCGTCAAAGATGGAGGAATCACAGTCGGGATCAGGGTCAGGTATTTCATCGTGGTCTGATTATGTTAGCGGTTTAATTCCATTGCCATTGAATATTAGCGGTAACATACCTGCCGGTTCAGACAGATGTATCCGTTTCAGCTGCCTCTGAGCTTCTTCCGCTGCCTTTCGTTTGGCTGCCATGGCAATGATGACGATAGAGCCTTGAATCCTAGAAGCCAGACATCTCAAATGGAAAGTGAATCAAGGCCGGCATGACAACCTATAGACTCAAACAGACTGGCAAACCAACGCCAGTCTCCTTTCCCAAGAAGATGTTGATGGTCGTCGATTTCAACTCGAGCTCTTCTTGGTTTGTGTGTTTCCAAAAAAAAAAGATTAAGGTGCAAAATCTTGGCACGCCAAGCATCGTCTTTTTTTCTCTTTCACATCGCAAAAGGAAGAAAAACATCATCACCACCGCGCGCGAGGAAGACGATACACCGGACAAGTCACAGAATTAGCTCTATTGCCCTACACGCTGCAATAAGCCGCTTTCCTTTTGATACTATCGCAATGTCTGACTTTGGCGGTGACGACCATGACGACCGTGAGGAGCCAGGGTAAGCCCTCCAATTTATTGGCACATTTATCGCATATACCATGACCACACTCAAGCTAATAGCTGCGTAGTCTTGACTATGAGCCAGCCGAAGACTTCTTTGACGATACTGTGGTCGACGACTTTGCGGTAGAGGACCAGCAAGAAGAAGGCTACGCAATCCTGAACGGTGATGGACAACCTGCGACTACCAACGGACAGAACAGCGACCCTAATGCCTCCTCTGGCCAGGGCCAAGGGAAAACCATATTGCAACAACGTGAGAAGAAGGTTGCCAATGACCAACGGACTACGACCCCGTACATGACCAAATACGAGCGGGCCAGAGTACTAGGCACCCGTGCACTACAGATTAGGTGAGCTACAGGTTTCTGCCTGGCATAGGTATAAGAGAAAGCTTTGATAGGTTATGCTAATGTAAATCATCAACAGCATGAATGCTCCTATCCTTGTTGACCTAGAAGGTGAAACTGATCCGCTACAAATTGCCCTGAAAGAGCTGAACCAGAAGAAAATCCCATTGATTATCAGGAGATATCTCCCGGACGGGTGGTGAGTACTTGTGTCAGCGTCTACTTGCATGTTTCCTAGCTGATATCTTCTCCAGGTATGAGGACTGGACATGTGAAGAACTCCTTTGAACATATCACAGGCAGGCCTACCTTCAGCCTTTGGACATTCAGGTATCTTATACAATGCCCTCGAGACACTTATGTTTTGTGTGATTTAGCATAGCGTGGGGTTTGGGTTTATGTTGGATCTTTCTTTTCTTTTTGTCTTGTCAGAATAAAATAGGTAAATAATAGACAGTAAGGTGCAGTTCTCATAGGTACTTCTCCTCCACCACGGCCTCTTCCCAGCAACCAGTGAACCAGGCAACAGCTTCTTCCCTCTATTATGACTCACAACAAGGCCATTGTGACATATCATGCAGGTCTATGCATGTACTACAAGGGCGGGATGGCATGAAGTCCAGCAGATTGGACACGCAGTGAACCAGGGTATATAGCAACATATCCATATTCCCCCCCCTCACTAGGTATAAATAGATGAGGCTGCCACCTCGTCAAGACATGAAGAACAATTACATTGGACAAAAAGAAATCAAACAGAATCAAGAACTACAACCTTCAGACAAAGTATTATATACCCCGATATCTCCTTACCCATGCTAACTACTTCCAGCGCCATGTGCCAATATATCCGCTTTACCTATTCGCTCCTACTATGCCGTGCCCAACCCAAACATCTATTTGAAGACCGCAAACGAGTAGATTACACTGAAGGAGAACTCGATAACAACGGAGTGACTCTCACGGATCCATGCCCAAACCCAAAAACGGGGGCTGGCCAAAGCCGAATGTGTGCTGGAGCAACTCAACGTGGTGATATAGTCTTTGGGAGCTCAAGCAGGCGTGGAGGGAATCATGTGCCATGCCCAGAGTGTCTGCAATTGGGACTATATATTCAAGGAGCAGTCTAGCAGGGGTTGATATGAGAGAGAGATCAACACACCTATACGGACAGGATAGATATTCAATTATCTTCTATGTACTATGTGGTATACAGTTAGGCAGACGCGGCTTACCTAATTTAACTACTCACCACGTGATTTCAGGAGACTGAAACCCTAAGTTAATGTATTAGAATCTTATTTTCATCTCGCAAGACAAAAGATGTCAAAGTGTTTCTTCGATCTTGAGCGTCGCAATGGAAACTATCGGGTACGGCGTGACTGCTCTCGTTACTAAAACGAAGAGCTTGACTGTTATGAAACAGCCCTTCCCTGGATATGAGCATGAGATTGCCTTCGAGCGACAGGTTTATGAGAAGCTGGGTATACATCCCCGGATTGCTAAATACCGCCGTGCCATAAAACACGCCTTTGAAATGGACTATTACCCACACGGCTGCATCGACAAAGCAAGACGTGACATGGGGCCTGAGATACCGTATCTCAAATGGGCTGAACAGATCGCAGAAGGCCTGGTTTTCATACACAGCAAGGGCATCATTCACTGTGACCTACGGTCACCCAATGTCCTTGTTACCGATACCCAGGACGTTGTCCTGGCTGATTTTGCCTCGAGTTCAATGGATGGTGTCAGGGTGTCCGATGTGTCAAATAATACGAGATATCGACCACCCAGCTTTGATGAGCTAAATCCTCAGTATACCATCCAGGACGACATCTTTGCGTTTGGCAGCGTTGTATACTACCTCGTTGCGGCCGAGGATCCGTATAAAGATCGAACAGATGAAGAAGTTATCGAGCTCTACTCCGCCGGTAAATTTCCTGATGCTTCAAGGTGGCCCCTAGGTTCCGTCGCTAGCAAGTGTTGGCATGGTGAATACTCTAGTGCTGCCCAAGTGTTGGATGATGTTCGTCAGTATAAACTAGTCCAGAAATCGATCCTCGCATTCTTGCTGACTCGTTTCCTTTGGCTCTATAGGCAACCTGGGCTTCGAGTCGTCCTTAGCATTACGTTGCCCAGTTTACTTCCGGTTTATCTTCCGCGTAACGCGGTATCTGAAACTTTCACAGTGGTCTTCACTTTTAAGCCAGAATCTGTCGAAATTTCTATCATTTCTCACAGGAGGTCAATGATAAACGGCCCAAATTTCTCAGTACTCCACATCCCCTACATATATACCTATATATGAATCAGGTGCAGGTGCCATAGGTGTGTGAGGGTACTCTCCCGCTTAATATTCAAGAGACGAAAAGCAGTGAAACAAAACACTTCGAAGGGCTGCTGAAAATTGTTTCTTTTTCCCCCTTGTAATAACACCAAACCACGTCCAGATCATGTACACAATGTATGATCAAAATATTACCTTACCATATCCGCCATCTTGAAATATAGCATCCTCATAATTTCGTGTGTTGCGTCGAGGTCGCGTGTAAGTGATGGCTGCTAGCCAATTATGAGGAATGCTTTCACCAAGTTGAGATATCTTTCGGCATCATTTTCGACGGCGTCATTAACCCGAAGATGTTGTCAGTATTGTCCCCATCCAACACTTTTTCGAGTTTCAATATACGAACGGACTAACAATATACCTAGTTTAAATATTACTAATAAGAAGAAAGCGACGAACCGTTCCGTCCTTGCCGTTGCACTGCCGAAGCCATTGCCGCTGCTGACTCGCCGTTGCTTCTGACGCCCCGCTGGTCCATCAACGTCGCCGGACTTTTCGCCCTGCGATAGGAGGAACCACCGCTGAGGCCGTATACCGCATCGTCCTCCTGTGGGCTTGTCCAGCGCAAAGTGGATGGAGACTAGGCTTAACAGCCTGTTTCGAGTCTTCGATGGATTAATCAGATTCAAATCAGCTCGGCGCCGAACGGCTTTTTCACTTTTTTTCTCCTAATCTCCTTCTCTCCGTTTTAACTTCTGTCTCTATATATATACATACACGCATATATATATTCTCCATGCGCAAGATGGGAATCCTTTCGTTTTGTCAGGGTATCACATTCTCTGTCCCCCTTTCTCTACCATATACCCGTCATCCTCATGCGTGAGAATGGTCGATCTCGAGAAGGATGAGCAAATGCAAAACAGCTCTATAGGCATAGGGGGTGAAAGTGCCGTTGCTTCTTCCACTACCTTGCCGACGGAGAAAAATAATGTCGATGATGCTGGCTATGCTAACCACGAACACTCATTCGACAGCGGCTGGGCAGCTTGGTCCCAGGTTCTAGCTTCGTTCTTTCTTTTCTTCAACACTTGGTATGATGCCTTCTACATCTATAAAAATAGACACAGGACAAGAAATACTAATTTCGTTATATAGGGGAATCGTCACAGCGTTTGGCGTGTTCCAGACATACTATGAGCATAACCTACTCAACCACCTGTCACCTTCGACAATCTCCTGGATTGGGTCCACGCAATCATTCTTGCTACTCTTTTTTGGGACCGTCACCGGCTCCTTATTCGATGCCGGCTATGTCAGGCAACTTTTGATGGTGGGCTGGGTCTTGATCCCACTCGGGCTCATGATGACCAGCATAGCCAGTTCGTTCTGGCAGATATTCCTTGCTCAAGCTATATGCATGGGCCTTGGATTCGGAAGCGTATTCGTCCCCTGCCTTGCCGTTTTGCCGCAGTACTTTAAGAAACGAAGAGCGATTGCCAACGGAATTGCCGCAACAGGCAGCGGCATCGGCGGCGTCGTGTATCCTATCATATTCCGCCAGATGCAGAAAAGCATTGGATTCCCATGGGCAGCACGCGTACTAGGCTTCATTATCTTCGCTACAATGTCTATATCGATATGTCTATTAAAGATGAGATTCAAACCCACCGAACGACGGAGCTTAATACAGCTCTCAGCATTCAGAGACCCTGTATACTCCCTTTTCTGCATCTCGCAGTTCTGCGGCTTCCTTGGGCTGTACAATATGATGGTTTATATTCAGCCCTACGCCATTGACGAAGGGATAATGAGCACGGATCTAGCCTTTTATCTCCTTGCCATCCTTAACTCCGCGTCTACGCTTGGCCGGATAATTCCAAATTATTTTGTCGACTTCCTCGGGCCTCTTAACGTCATGATACCCATGACATTCTGCTCCGGCATTATAGCTCTTGGCTGGATAGGGGTGCATAGCACGGCGAGCATCATAGTGATCGCAATACTATACGGGTTCTGTTCGGGCGCCTTTGTATCCGTTCCCCCGGTTGTGTTGATCAGTATAACGCCCGATCTTCGAGACTTTGGCACCCGCCTCGGGATGACGTTTGTATTTAACTCGGTTGGCGCCCTTGCTGGTACGCCTATTGGGGGAGCTATCATCCATGGCTCAGGAAACGAATACTTGGGCGTCCAGCTCCTGGCCGGATGCTGTCTACTAATGTCGGGGGTCTTCCTCGTTATTGCCAGGTTTGTCAAGTCTGGGCTGACAGTTTTTGTCCGTGTGTAGTCGAATACGACAGCCAGGCTCTGGGTCCCCTTTACGTAGTAGTATAGACCATACCAGATACCCTGCACCGCAAGATGACACTTTACATATAAAAAAGGAGTACATAAAATATATATAAAAGGACATATAATGGGATTCATCTATGAACTTTTTAACCTACCAGTAACTCATAAGTCGTACACCATGTCCTGATACTTGGCCAATGCTATGTGTGTATCTTAGGCAACCCTTTCGATCAGGTAACGTCTTCAGGGTTTACAAGGAAGTTTTCCCCATCTTCACGAGCATGCTTTAGATGGACATCCCGACTCAACGGCTTTCGCATGTCGAACGCATCTTCACCCTCCTCCGAGAGACCCGTGGGATCATCACTGTAGTAATTCACCACCCGCCTAAACACAGAATACCTAACACCCAAAGTCAGCAACGGGAATGACCAGAAGAGAGAGATGTATATGAACCTACCCCATGCCCTTGTACATGTCGACTGCGACTTTATTCCCTGCCCGGACATACAAATCAACGAACCACGCATTATTCATATCTGATGCCCGCTCCAGGCTCTCCGTCAGCCGTCGTGCATGGCCCATCCGTCTCCAGGCGGGCGCAACGGTCAGCACCGTGATATGGCCATGCCAGGGCGTATAGTGCTCCGAATGACGCATGGATTGCGGTTGCGCCTCTAGTTTTCCCATTACTATTATAGCACGGTGTAAGTCAGCCAGTCACGCCACGTCTACCGTAGTTTTTCTTGTCTTCCCCGTCCATCTTGTGGTAATGCGCTGGTAGCGTTGGGCCGCAGCCAGCAAAATATAGTTGGAATTCTGGCGCTTTGGTTCCTGGTGCCAGCAGCGGAGAGGAGGAGCGGTCAAGTCGAAGGAGACGTACTGTATCCGACTATCTGGCCGTCTCTGTCCTCGACGACGTTAAACAGAGAAGGCCATTTCATGAGATAGTTGAGGTAGAAGTGCACGTCGTAGTTCTCGGTCAAGGGATCGAGGTTGGTCAGGTTCAGGTTGAGCAGGTCGGCTGGCGTCATGCGCCGGATCGTGGCCATGATGGAAGATCGAATCAGCCAGCGAAGAGGAAGAAGAAGACAGCAAAGTCGTGTGGGTTGCTGTTCTAGCAGATGCGATTGTTTTCTTGTAGATATTTGAACTTGTTGAAAGTATTTTTATCTTGGAAGTTTTTCTGTGTATCGATTTTTTTAAAACATCCAAGACTGATTATTTATTTACTCCTTTTCAATCTGCACAGCAACGCCGGCCTTGTTTTCGAGGTCAACAACTTGGTACGAGCAGCTGTCGGAGTGAAACAGTGACGGAGTTATTGTCCCTGAAGGGCTGAAGGTATTTATTCAAAGGGTTTGGCTTCTTTTAGGGCCTAAATAGTATACTAACTTGAGTTCTCTAGGGAAATAGAATCTTCACGGGTTGACGGGATATGCCAGCTCGATCGATATCGAAGAAGAACCAAGGAGATATATAAAATATATACTATATAAAAGTGATCTTGAGCATAGGAAGCATAGCAAACATGCCTTCTTCTCCCATATCTCCCCGTCAACTTGAACACCGCAGAAAGCTACCGAGCATCGACATGTCGGCCTCTCAAAGCACATTTGCTACGAATTCGAATGGCCTGTACTCTCCGCAGGCAGCCAGGAGCTCGCTTCCGCAGTCTCCTGTGACACCGCGACAACGGCACCGCATGTCAATCGATAGGACGTCTCGGTACTCTGCCGATTTCAACAGCGATATCGACTGCCGGAACGGCGAAGGCAGCCCAATAATGGACGGAGGACTTGGTAGTCTTGCCGATGAGCTCGCGGATGCGTGGGACGACGATGTGGAGGATATATCCGGTCTACGGGAAGGGAGAGATGGCGACGTCTTTGGTGACGGCCACCCTGGCTCTCCCAGGAACAGCATGCGGAACGACAGTCATGGTGGAGTGAATGGAGAATTCGTTGATTCAATACATGATATGGGCATTGGGATGGGATCCAAGGCCTCTAGGGGACAGGATGGCTCAGAGTCTGAATGCGAAGGCGGGCTACGTCCGTCGAAACCACGGCCGAAATCGATGGCGAATAACACCCAACGACACCGGAGATATGAGTCGTCCCTCTACGATGGCTCTGAGTATGGACCGGATTCCGATATCGAAGAATGCGCCGACATATCGCCTGCTCTGGAGGCGCGCATGGCCGCCATTGACCAGCTCGTTCGGTTTGGAAACAGTGAAGCCGAACACCTGAGCAACGAAGTCATGGGCCGTGTTATCCATGGCCTGCGAGACCTGGGCGGACAGAGTGAGATTGAAAGCGGTGCTTCCAGGTTAGTTTCTCCGCGATATATATATTCCATTACCAGCCCTGCTAATATCCATATAGGCTTATCACTGCCCACGCTTCTCTGACCTCTCATCTAACACACCAAACCCGCTCACTACAAACCCTCACCCACCCTCTCCTCTTCTCGCATTTCCCTGTTCTCTCCTCCGATGCTATAGACGGCCTCATTCCGTTGATAGAAGACGTCCTGCCAAACCTCCCTTTCCCTGTCCAATCTAACCCAGCTGCCTCTACCTCTACATCCTTACCGCACGAATTCTCCCCATCACAATGCTCAACCACAAGCTCAGGCTCAAACACTGCTGCCACAAACCCTCTTCTTTCTCTACAGGCTCTCCTTGCTCAAACGTCCGATCTCACACATACACTGCGCACGCTAAGCGATACCCTGCATGAATCCCGTCAGTTGACGTCTGCAGCATCTCGGCGGCTGAAATCGGTGCGTGAGCTGGTATCTGAGATTCGACGGGATGAAGAGGCACGCGAAGAAGGGACAGCCTGGATTGAGCAAGGGGAGTGGGATAAACGGCTTGGTGAGCGAGAGGCGGGCAGAGTGTGTGGCGATGTTGTCAGCGGATTCGAAGCCGTCTGTGGAGAATGGAGGGATAGATTGTTTGGTACAGAGGTGGTTGTTGCATAGCTTGTGGTGTTGGGTATAGGTCTATCTAGGTGGGCGTTGGTCTTGATGCTGAGATGTCTCATGTTTCTTCATATTTCATTCTTTTCTTTTCTTCTCCTTTTTCACCATTCATTATCTACTTACTTCTCTTTTGTATAGTTTGACCTTTTTGATAGAGATGGATATTCGAGGTGATATCCAGCGAGTTGGCTAGGGATACTACCAGACCTTTTAATCCTCATGAATCTACAGACCTGAAAATCAAGAGCAGTCGTTTTATAGATATTTTTCTGTTCCATTGCAATTTTATGAAGGTATATCCAGCTAATCTGTCCATTTCCCGTCAGTCATGTCTCCGTGACGGGCGTTAGACAAAAACATCAGGAGAGCAGCAAAGTCGTAGAGAAGGTGGAATAAAAAGCAAACGAGAGAATAGAAGAAATAACAAGAGGGAATCAATTCTTTGGTCGAGGGAAAAAACGGTTAATTAAATCCAATAAAAATTGACAGTTAGGAGGAAAATGGAACCAGAGATAGAACCAGAAGCTTTTTGATGTAAAAGTAACATCTGAGGCTGTCAATGATTGATTGAGTGGAAGGAAAGGGAAGTTAATGAAAAAGGGGAACATGAGGAAAGGAAAATACGACGAGAAGCGAGAATTCATAGCCTCCATTCCACCCATCAGCCATCAAGTACCATCATCATGATCATCAACATGCTAGAACTAGATAAAACATGATACACATCTACTGCTGCTGCTGCTGTTTGTGTCTAGGTCTCCATGCGCCTGAGCTAGTTGGCGGCAGTCTGGATTCATCTTTTGCTTCACCATCGGTGGGGGGTGCAGGGCTTCTGGTCACTGGAGCCCGCGAGTCAGAGGACGATACATCACGACCTCTGGATGGGAATCGTGGAGCAGTGCCGTTTGCCGGGCTGTCCCTGCCACGTAGATGGATGGGGACGTATGTGGCAGATCCGGAAGGTTTGCGCAGGGTATCTCGAGAACCAAGATCGCGAGTTGGTGGTTCACGCTCGCGGGATGGAAGCTCGCGAGGTTCGCGCTCACGGCCAGGTAGTGTTCGTGGTGGTGGTGCGGAAGACCCTTCAGCAGCGGAGTCACCACCAGCGGCCTTCTTGGCAGCCTCTCTGTCTCTCCAGGAGGTGCCACCAGGGCGAGATGTGAGGTTGAGTCGGGGCGCAGTGCGTTCAGTAGAGTCAGTTCGTGAGGATTCGGCAACAGCTGTAGGCGGAGCGCGGGAGAGACGAGGGTCAGCCAAGCCAGCTCGTTTAGCTGCAAGACGTTTCTCGACTTCTTCCTCACGCTGTTTCTGGATGGCTGCCTTTTCATCCAGGATTCTATGTGTATGTTAGTACTAGTGATATATATATGGGTGGTGGTGACAAGACTACTGACCTTCTCTGCTCTTCTCTAGCAGCCTTCTCCTCAGCCAACTTCCGCCTCCTCTCTTCATCCCTAGCTGCTCTCTCCTGTTCTTCCCTCTCTTCACGCTCAGCTTCCTCACGCTTCCTCCTCTCCTCGGCCTCACGCTCCATCCTCTCTCTCTTGATACGCTCTTGTACTTCCTTGACACGCTGTTTCTTCTTGGCCTCGAACTCACGCTCAGCAGCCTTACGACGACGTTCGAACTCTTCATGTCTCTTCTCGGTAACGGAGTGCTTGAACTTGTTGAAATGAGGTACGAGACGGCTAAGGCGATGTTTTAGAGCCACATCTTCCTTATGCTTGAGCTCAGCAGCAGCAAGGGTCTCGGCTTTTTGGCGCTCGTAGACCTCGAGGTCGTGCTTCTTCTGCCTCTCATAATCCTCAGGCAAATGCTTAAGTTCTTCACGACGGTAAGCACGTTCAAGATGGTCGAAGCGTTTAGCAGTCACTCGGATTCTTTCATTCAGATCGTTCTTCTCCTTCTCGAGCTGTGCGAGCTTCATTGCTCGAAGACGGTTGGAGTCTAGTTCCTCCAGGTCAATCTCGCTAACGTCAATGCCCTTAATGCCGGTCTTGAGTTCCTCGAGTTGCTTCTTCAACTCTGCCTGGCGGATACGGTCCTGTTCATCCTTCATACGCTTGCGCTCTCTTTCACGGTGCTCATCAAGGAGACGCTGCTTCTCAGCCTCCTGCAGCTGCTGTGTGCGGATACGCTTCTGCGTTTCTTCTTCCTGCTGCTTCTTCTGTAGGGCATCCGAAGCAGCTTCCTTCTTCTTGTCGATGATCAGGCGGCGAGCAAGGGCCTGCTCGTGTTCCTTTGCGGCACCAGCTTTGGCGCGAGCCTGTGCTTGTCGTTGTGCCTCGATGCGAGCTTCATTATAAGTTGGGTCAACGTACATGCAAGTAACGTGCAGTGTCTTTGCGAGGCGTGTGAGTTGAGACCTAGCAATTTCGGCAGGGGTGCTCTGGAGTCTCTGGACAGCACCGACGTCACTCTCGGCAGAGCCAGCGCCGCTACCAGCATGTACAGCTTTGGCAGAGGAGAAAATATCCGAATCGAAGGTAAGTACCCCCGAAACATGGTCAACACGGATAGCCAGGTCACCCTTCTTGCATCCGTTCATTATAAACTTCTCAACCATAGAGGGGGTTACTTGGAAGGGAGCAGGGAAATGAGCGAGCTCGTGAACGAACTTTAGCTCCACAGACTCGTAAACTTGGGAGAGCTGCTGGAACAGGCGGGTCAGGATAACCTGCTGTAGAGGCAGGACGTATTTTTCCATCTCGGCGTCAGCACCGATCTGTTCAAGGATGGGGGCGATCTTCTTGCAGATGGAGAGAGGGTGAAAGTCGACTTCGAGAATGTTGTAGAGGTCCCGAATCTCTGGGCGAGCACGAGACAGAAGGCCCTTGTTGAGAGCGTCTTTGAACAATGCAGCACGAGTAGGAGGGGAAGCCATGCCGAGCAAGTTGGTGAGACGAGTATTCTTATTCTTGCGGGCTTCATCAACATCAACAAGGGCACCACGAGAGCGAGAGGTGCTAATGACAGGGATAGAAAGGGCGGAGAGAAGGACGAATGAAGCTGTCTTGGTCATGTCTGCTTCGGAGACAGATGGGTTGTCTTTCTTCGGAGCCTGGCCCGAGGCTACGGCAATAGCAGACTGGCGCAGCAGGGTATAATATCTGTTCCAGGCGGCAGCATGGAAGAGGTAGTTGTCACTAACGAGGAAGATACGTGCAAGTTTCTCGTAGTAGTTTGCCATCATAACGTTCTTAGCTGGCCGCTTGCTCAAGTTTAGGAGGGTATGGATATCTTCCACACTGCGGAAACCCTCCTGCCACAGTTCGAGCTCGACAGCAACATTGAGCTGCTGGAAGCGGGTGTCTAGATGGCGCTGCAAGGTGTCTGGATCACTAAGATTGATAGCATGCATCTGGGACGAATACTTAGCAGCATTCTGCACATGGTTCCTGAGCAGTTCACAGAGACGTCTGAATTCAGTCTTGCGAGTATATTTGAGACAGAACTGGAAGGCCTGCAGGGCAGTTGTCTGATACATGACTTCAAGGCGAGCATTGTTCTTGAGGATCTCGAGCACGGTGCGGTATGTTTCCCAGAGGAACTTAAGCCAGGGAGTGACAATAGCTCGGTCTGTGCGGTCCTTGGACTGTTCTCCGGAAACTGTAGCAAGGAGGATAGTCTCTGGCGTTTCAATGGCATCCAAATCCTCAATATTTGACGTAGCACCGGTGTTTGATTCGAGAGACTGCTGGATCTCATCTGCCTTTGCCTGGGCCTCCGTGACTTTTTGCTCCGCCAGCTCAATGAACTTTTTCAACACCATCTAATACACCGGGTCAGCATCCAATAACATGAAAAAAAAAAAATTAGAGAGGGTCGAACCTACCTCAATGGTGCCAACATTGGTATTCTGGGCAATATTCTTGTACTGGTACAAACCATCTTTGGCGGACTTTCCCTTTCTCAAGTCGACACAGAGTTCAACAAACAGCACCATGACCGGCTCAAGAGAGGCAATCGGGCTGTTTCTGGATCGTTTTGAGGTGACATGTTCGTGGAGTACGGTCAAGGCAGACGCTTGCTGGTCGACTGCAATAAGTTCTTCGGCACGCTATAAAGCAGTTAGCACCTAACGAAAAGCCAGGAACCGGTGGAAGTGACAGAGTAGGCCTACCCTGAGAATATTCTCCGGCCGAACGTGTGGAAGAGGCGGCATGTTGGGCGGTCTCCCTGTGGGATGTTTGCAGGTACAGGCTCAGCGGGTCGTCGATATTATATATATCCAAGTAATTTTTTTTTTGGTGACAGCCTTTTTTTAATTTCGATAAGGTTATCGCTCTGCGGTCAGGGATGGCGGCGGAACCCCAAGAGCACGAACTGGCGAGGCGACTGGTAGGCTTGTCGGGACAGTCGAGAGAGCCTCCAACGATGGTGACGGTCGTTGGTAGTCGGTTCGTGATGGCTGGCTGGCCTCGTTTTTGGTGTTGGTTGTGTGAAAGTGGAGGCGAAGTTTTTTTTTTCTTTCTCTTTCGGACAGACCAAACATGGATATTATGTAAGCGGAGGAGTAAGCGAGTCACGTGGTAAACGCTGATATAAAAGTGTAGTTTTTTCTTAGCAGTTTGTGAAGATGGATGGAAAGATGATGGATGGAAGGATGAGTGGCTACGAAGGTAGATGCTACGATCTATACCGGCAAAGAAGGTTTACTGCACCTTCATCCTCTTCTTCTGCACGAGAAACGAGGCAGAAAGCGAGAGAGAGAATGGGGGCCATTATCCATCAATGGCGATGACGATAGAACAGGAGCACGCACCCATAGAAAAAGGGGAGGGAGCAAGATGGGGGGGAGGCGCTGGATACGGGGCTAGCTGGGAAGATGAAGCTGCGAGATGTGCTATGTATAGCTCCCTGGCCCACCACGCAGACACAAGCGAAGGAGAAGATTGTCAACAGCGTACGGAGTAACCGTCAGCAAATTAATAGACAGCATACTCCGTACAACCAGCAGTTCGGAGCAGTGTCAGCGCAGGTCGAATAGATAAAAAAAGAAGCGCCTCCCCCCGCGCATCGTCCGTTCCCCCCTCGATCCCCGTTCTGCATGTCCTCGAGGAAGGGTGCCCTAAAGCATCACAACCCTAGAAAGAGGGTCATAAGTCTGCCTTAATGCATTTCAGGCCGGGCCCTAGAACCCCTAGAATCCCTTGTGGTCGGTCGTGTATGTATGTAAGTGGTTTGCGCCTCGTCGATCGCGCGCCGTTGGGAAGGGGAAAAGGAAAAAGGCAGAGAGAGACAAGAGGAAGTGGTAATGCTGTGACGGGGTAAGTTATGGGCGCCAGAACGGGAGATTAGCGTTCTCTTCTTCTTGTGCCTGTCAGCTACCCTTAGCTTAGCGCCACCAACGAGGGGGTACATATAGAGTAGAACAATATAGAATACACAAACATACAATGCATTATCATCAGGAAGAATGTATTATCATCAGAGAGAGAAGAAAAAGAGAGAGAACAGCCGAAAAGGGAAAAAGGAAGAACTTTTGGGGTAAAAAGGTACTTACATAAGCAGATGAGGCTAGTGTATTTTACACCTTGTTACATAGCGTTACCATACATACAATACGACGGCCCTTTCTCTTGGTCTTCCCTTTTTCACTTTCTCTCCCTTTCATCTTCTCTCGCTCTCTCTCTCGCTCTCTCTCGCCATCTTCCTCGTCCACCAACGTCCACCACCCACGGCCACAGCTCTCACAGGTACTCTTCGACTGACCCTCTGCCTCCCCAGTCGTTGCGAAGGGCCTCAATCGTCTGTTCTACCAGTCTACCTATCGACAAAAGTCCTTTTTGACGGGGTTGCGCATCGCGATACACCTCTCTCCCTTTTTCTCTCCAGTGGAGGAGAGTGGACGGTAACCGAGCCTCACACACACCGCAATGCCACCAGCCTACGAACTGCGCTCAGGGGGCGATGGGCGAAGGACACGACAGAATCTGGCAGAGCTCAAGCTGCGCCGTCTCGCCGAGGTCAACATACGGCTCAAGGAGGATCTCGACAGGCCGCGTATAAAAGTTGCCGAAGCATCCATCTCGTGCGTTGCCCTGGGTACATTACCGATCAGAAGTTCAGTTCCCGTGAGCTAACGAGCTTCTTTCTCTCTCTAGCCTTATAAACTACTGCAACAATACAAAGGATTTCATGGTGCCATCCGTATGGGGACAGGTAGGGCTCATCTTTTTAGTTTGAACTACATAACTCACCCGAGCACATGCCTGACAAACACCGCACCTAGGTCGATAAACGTGATGACCCTTATGCGCCACAGCAGTCTGGAGGGTGCTGTATACTGATGTGATGGATGAGAATGTGAAAAGAGTACGACAACAAAATAAGAAAAAGAAAGAAACCTGAATTTGATGCGAAGAGCACGGTTCAGCACTTCTACCACCAAATTGAAAAAAAAAAATATGCAACCAACCCCCTCAGCAACAGCAACAGCGATACCCTTATTGATATCTCCTCCTTTTACATACTGCCGCACGACCTACCTTAATCCATCCTCTGCTCTGCCGCCAACCCATGCTCGATAATATCTAATTCGTCTTATCCTCCGCCACCGCCATCACTATACGATCCAACCATCACGATCTCCTTATTTTCATGTCTATACATAACTATGATCTACCTTTCTTGGTTCTGTCCTCGAAAAACCTCTTTTTTTTTTTCTTCTCTTATCTTGGAATAGGGATTGGAACGGATGTATGTCATTATTATGACATTGCCTCTTCCTCGGTCGACGGGCTTACCTCTCATCCTCTTCTCACTCCGGATACAACTCAAAATCGTCACCTTACTGCTGCTTTTATAACATCTCTCATTTTGGCTTAGTTAGCTTTGTATCCGGCTTACTTCGTCACTCGCCTCGACTCTATCGCTCCCCTCCGACCTCCTCCGGCCCCGTCTTGGTTGACTCTCTATTTGCTTGTGTTTGCCCTTCTTCTTGCCTATTTTTTTCCTCTTCCGTTTATCATTCCTGCTTCCGCTTTCTCTCTGTCGGTGCTAGTGCCTTCGTTTTCTTAAAATGGTTTTTCTACGTCAGTCTATCCTTTTTCATTATTTCCTTTACTCTCTCTGCCTGTTCTCATAGTCATGTTCCCATGTCTTCTCTCTCCCTCCCTCTCTAGTTTTCTTTGTCTGTATCCTTCCTCGATCCGCATCTACTTCACATTCAAGAGCTGGAATAAGCATAGGATAAACACCGGACCGGACCAGATCTGAAATTTATTTCCATATCTCTTTTCCTTTTCTTCTTACCCTTTTTCTTCTTTCAAGTCCATGTCTCCGTCTCATAGTAGCCCCCTTCCAATTCCTCATTTCCTTTCCCCTTATCCGACAGCTTCAACATCCTATTCCGATCCAATGTAAAATAGAATTCCATCTGGGAGAAGCAATACATCCAACAATAAAGCCGTAATACCTGTTTGATTGACTGCATCGATGTGTTGCTGGGATCACCAAATTACCAACAGATAAACCAAGCAGATGATTAGCCCATACCCCAGCAGCCAGAAACTGGGCAGCCGGACAACGCCGTCTTGCATGTACAATTAGACCT